TAATTGTTTTGGCCCCCCTGGACCTATGCTCGCTGCACTCCGGGGTAACGGTAATGGTGTTGACTCTCGCTTGTTCCGTTGTGGTTCCACAAAATCAACTCTGTTACCTTGCGTCCGATCTGTTACCGGCTTTTCTTGTGATGTAGAGTTTCTCAAGATGGCATCAAGTTTTGGCCTGTATGGCGCATGAACTCTCAGCCTGGTCTCTTCTCATTGTGTCCATTCTCGTCTCCAAACTCCCTAGCTTACTATTCACAGTGTCATACCGTTGCTTCATTACTTGCATGTCTTTTTTGATATTCTTCTCGCGGTCTTTGTCAGTGGCCTCTACCTTGTCTGACATCTGCTGAAGCTTCTCCTCCGTCGCGCTCGCCAGGTTGAAGTAGTTGTCCAGGTACTCGTTTTTGTTGTATCTTATTTCCTTCTTTATTACCTCTCGATCTTTCTCACTGCACTTCAGTTTTTTGTCGATTTGTTCCAGTTTTGCCATCAAGTCACTCACTTCAAGAAGAGGTGTTTTCTCTTGGTTTGTTGTTGTCCCATTTTCAACCGTTGCCTCGTGGCTAGCTGTTGCATCAAGATCGCCACGATCATCGCCTCGATTATCCTCTGTTGCTACTGCAGAAACCATTCCAAATGTCTTGCCTTTCAGTAGTGTCCCAAGACTTCGTGGTACTGTCCCAAGACCTTTTGGCACTGTTCCAAGACTCTGCAGTAGTGTCCCAAGACTTTTCTGGACTGTCCCAAGACTTCTTGGTGCTGTCCCAAGACTTTTCGGCACTGAAAAGTCTTTTCTGTACTGTCCCAAGACTTTTCGACTGTGTCCCAAGACTTCCTGGTACTGTCCCAAGACTTTTCCGCTCTGTCCCAAGACTTCCTGGTACTGTACCAAGACTTTTCCTCTCTGTCCCAAGACTTCCTGGTTCTGTCCCAAGACTTTTCCGCTCTGTCCCAAGACTTCTTGGTACTGTCCCAAGATTTTTCCGCTCTGTCCCAAGGCTTCCTGGTACTGTCCCAAGACTTTTTCACTCTGTCCCAAGATTTCCTAGTACTTTCCAAGACTTTTCCGCTCTGTCCCAAGACTTCCTAGTACTGTCCCAAGACTTTTTCGCTCTGTCCCAAGACTTTTACGCTCTGTCCCAAGACTTCCTAGTACTGTCCCAAGACTTTTCCGCTCTGTCCCAGGACTTCGTCACTTCAGTGTTGGGACAGACACACTGTCCCGGGACCCCTTCTTCCTTAGTGTTGGGGCAAACTGATTTCTTCTTCTTCGTTGTTGGGACTCTTGAACCACTATCCCTGGTACCACCACTTGAGCTCTAGTATAAAATCTTCCTCAAAACCAAACCTAACTGGCCAAAAGTTTCAAAAGCTAAACGCCCTGTATTTATCTCCCTTTATTAATCTAATGCAAGCTGAAATTCAACTTGCTCGCCGGTGTGTTGTGATCACCTGTTCGTTCAAAACCGATAAAATTAGTACCGAAAATGTAAAAATACAAACGAGAAAAAATTATGAAAAAAATAGGAAAATGAACCCACCTAAAATCAAAGATGAACAATGTCGTCCTCTCGTAGAAAAAATGTCTCGTACCTGAATATCACGCGTTTTCCTCCCCCCTTTTAACGTTCTTATGGGGTATTGTCCTTCCGGTTTCCAAAAACTGTCTATTTCCGTCCCCCCCCCACCCGATCCGACCAGGGTACCTACCTTAATTTGATTTTAAATTTGGATATCCTCTCTCTAAAACTCACGCGTGTAAGTTTATAATGTAACTAAATCGACGATATCGATTGATTAGTTACTATAACGTGTCCCCCCTTTTTACAACTTGCAACCACCAACCTCTAACCTAACCAGCCCCCCTTCTAACCTCCCCCTGTTTAGCCCCCCTCTTAAGTCGAAAATTACCTTAAGCGCTGGGTGCTAAACATCTCAAGAGAAAACCGTAGCACCTGTTTCCAAGCTCTGCTCAAGTAAAAACGTTCCTCAAAACAGTGGGATTTCGCTTATCCAATTTTACACTTATCTCCTATAATGTAATGTGGATTCTAACGTTACCCGATTGAGCAACCAGAACACCTCTGTGTGTCCTCCTCTGGTTGTTCTAATTCTGTGCTGGTTGTCTCTCTGGCTCGTCCAGCACCTCTTCACCAGCACCACTTTCCCACTTGACTGGTCACCTGTTCCAGACCAGTCTCCCAGTGGTCCGTCGATTGACCAAACAAAACACCCTTGTGTGCCTTCTCTGTTCGGTCCCGTCGGTGCTGGATGTCCCCTTGTCGTGTCCAGTACTTGTCGGGTTCCCTTCTTGCGAACCACTTTCCTACTTGGCTGATCACCTTTTCCAGTCAAGTCTCCTAGTGGTCCAGGTAAGTTGCAAGCTATCTGAAAACCCTCGACAACGCCCCACACTCGGGCACCTATTCAACTTGCTGAAATGATTGAAACGATCGGTCTTATGATAACAGTATGGGTATACTATTTAGTTAATATCAAGGTTTGATCCAACTGATCTGGTGTCAAAGTCACTGTCATTTTTTGTTTTATAGTTTTTGTTCCTTTTTCTATTCTTTTTCGGTTTTTGTTTCGCTTTTTGTCTTTTTGCTCGTTTTTTAGTCCCGCTTATTACCTCCCATTACTCGGTTAGCTAGGCCTCGTTCGAAGAGCGTACCAGGAAATTTTCTCGAGTTTTCTTAAAAAGCTAATACGGTACGACATGAAGGTTTACCCGTTCCCGCCAAACCGTTCCACCGGTAGTCTAGAATGGGCATGTAGCCCGGAGCTGTGTCAAGTAGGTTCGACTCCGTAGTCATGATGTCATAAAAACACCCAGGAGCGCCATAAAAACACTATGTAACAGTCGGCTACTTAAGTCACATATGAGGTTAAAGAAAAATAGGCCCTATATTTATTGACTCAAGAGTCAGGGACACTATCTCTTGTGTTTTTCTACCTCGAACGGTCGGAGCCAATTCGGTTCACTTGCGGCACGAGACTAAAACCCTCGTTACAGCTTAGAGGCCACTACCAAAAGACCCCCACTCTAGAAAATAAGAACGTCCCAATACTTAGGTCTCAAAGTACCCAAAATACGCGAACGCTGTTAAAAACAGGGTCGGAACAGTCCGTATGTTTACTTTTCATTAGACAGTGAAACTTTGATCCATTTCAGATGGATCAACCTAAAACGCTCCTTATCTCAACATAACAATTATAAAACACACTCAAGAAAACTAAATTGGGTACTCACATACCAGTACACTCGAGAATTGAGGTAACTAAATTAAACAGTAACTCTAGCATTAGGTAATTAAGTTTTAACTCAAGATGTTTGTAATCAATGAATTCCAGCAAGGGAAATGAGTTTTGACTCGAGAATTAAGTTTTGGGACTGGACCATTGGGATACCCCAGCTGTTTACCTTTCCACTAAGGGTTCACTCTGGTTCACTTCTTATTTGTCTCTGCTCTGTTGACAATCGGTCTGCTTCCTATTCAGGATAGGACAGCTTTACTCGTGTTTTATTTATATCTGGAAACTGCGAATAGATATTTCCCGCTGCTTTTTTTTACCACTTTTCCTGCGATTGTCATTCGGTTGTTCTGATCGTGTTTTTCTGAGATTTTCAGTTTTCGCGAGAAAGTTCAGCATGACAGGCTCAATTCGAATTTTTGAAAAATTACATTTGACCCCAAAATTACGTTGTTCGTACTCCTCAAGGTCAAACTTCCAAATATGACCGACTGGCACAAGTGTCACTGGCTCGAACTTAGACTACATCGATTTTAATTGTAAGGTCATCACACTTGTGATCTTCTTTTATCATTATCTCTTGCATATCTAGAAAATTTCAAATTCCAAGTATTTTGACTGGAACACGTGATGAAGGGACTCCTGACTGTATCTGGGTTACTATGATACATTTGACCTTCTGATTACCACGGAAAAAAAATTTTAAAAAAATTACAACCAGTTTTTCTCAACATTGCAACCTTTTTTTTGTAAATTTTTAATCTTTGTTGGAATAACGACTAAAAATGCTTTGATATGATATATCACATGGCCCAAGCCGATGATTATTTTGCGTGGAAAGAATTTGAAACGTCCAAGAAAGAGCTGGTCGACAGAGGCCTGGGAGGCCTACAGATTCAAGATTACAATAGCGTGAGCACATCGCCAAAAAGACGAAAGTGGCACACAGTATAGTCGCGATAATCAGGAAAAGTTTCGTGAACCTGACCTCTGAAATTTTAACGACCCTGTACAAAGCCTTAGTAAGAACACTTTTGGAGTATGCAAATCAGGCATGGAATCCATACCTTAAAAAAGACAAAATTACGATTGAAAATGTTCAGCGATGCGCAACGAAACTTATTCCAGGTATACGCAAATACAGCTAATCGGAACGACTTCAGATTTTGAAACTACCAACACTCGAGTATAGACGCAAACGCGGTAGAATGATTGAAGTCTTCAAAATTCTGAACGATCTATACGATACAGCAGCGACTGAAGGATTTTTTACAATCAACGAAAGAGACTCAAGAAGAAACTCTTTCAAGATTGTGACCATGAAGACCAGAACTACTGCTGGACAAAATTTCTCTACATTTGCAGCCATCAACGACTGGAACTCGTTACCCGAGACAGTAATATCAAGCGAGAGTGTACAAGTCTTCAAATCAAGACTAGACAAACTATGGGCGTCTGAAATATATGACGGAATGACAAAATGGACGTCCAAGAAAGAGCTGGTCGACAGAGGCCTGGGAGGCCTACAGATCAGAAGTTAACCTGTGAACCTGTGAATACAAAGATCGTACTCATTTTCAATGGTCGGAATATTAAAGTGGGTTTTCTATTAAATGGGCATTTGTTCGAACATGATCTGAATTGTTTCTAGTCTCGAAAACGTTTTGCATTAAATAAAATCGCCAGACTATTATCTTAGAGTTTTAGATTGTTGAATGTTAAATGGATCTTCAAAATTGTTTATCATGGCTGGTAGACTAAAGAGCATCATTGTAAACTTAAATGGCTTGCTGAAACACAAACACCATGAAAATTTTAAGCTCAGTAGCGATGAAGTACAAACTATTCGAAATAATTTGAAAGGCATTTCCAGCGATGAGCTTGGCATCTGCAATTTCAAGCTAAACGAAGAGCTCTGTTCCTCCACCAGGTAATGTACTTTTCAATCAAAACTATTCCTAGAAATTCAAATCCACAAGAAATTTAGGACATTATACTTGTGTGATCGTGCAACAGAGCCAGATCCTAGTGATTGGCCGTTTTTTGATTGCGTATCTTCAATCCTGCTGTTTTTACACGAGCGGAGCGTAGTGTGATAATACGATGCAACATTTTTTTCTAACCTTAGTCGCAAATAAAAGCTATTTTTGGTGACTTTTTTCAAAACAGTTGGCTGTATTAGCAGTATATTTTCAAATGCTTTGACTTTTGATGAGTATTGAGCTTACACAGTTGAGGCTTTTTCAATTCATCAATTGAATCGAAAAAGCTATTTAGTTCATGCAGCAGCTAAAAATTATTTAATTCCTTTTCAGAAAGTTTCCAACTTAATTTACTTCGCGATATTTTTGAAGTGCATTTATTCGCAATTTGGTTTATTACATTCTAATTTGTTACATGCAACGTTAGGGTGGTTGCCTTTAGTTTATTACCTTCCAAATTATTACATGCAGAGTTTTTGGGCATTTTAAAGCTCCTCAATTTTTGCCGCTTTCTGGCTCGTGTTTAAAGCTGCAGCTTCGCCTCTGTGTTAAATGGTGGCCGGTAAATGAGCAGAATGGTCCAAGAGCTAATCGGTAAATTTATTAGCTAATCGGTAAATTAAGTATAAGAATTATAATATTACCAAAGACACTTATGTTTTACGCATAATTTGACTAATTTAATCGATAATTCAATAATAAAAAATTCGATATTTCGATAAAAAAAAATTCATTTGAAAGAATTTGACAAAACCATTCAATTCATGCGTAATTTATTCTTTTTCCTGGTGTTTTTGACGCTTCTAAAAATTGTTTTTTCAATTTGCTTGTATAAATCATTAAAAAATCATATTTTTTGTTTTTCTGCTCTTGGGCCTATTCTGCTCTTGGACCATTCTGCTTATTGCTCCTCCGTGTTAAATTATCGTAATAATCAGTGATTTAATCGCTCATGGAAAACGATGCGCTCCTGAAAAATGTTCATAAGCGATGGTAGCTTGTTTGAAATTTTGATGTTAAGCGTAGTATGGTCGGCTTCGTGCTATAGGCGATCGGCTCGGAAATCTCTTCTAGGAGCTCCAATTTAGTAACCATTGGGTTGTTAACCACTTTTGGCTTCAAAAGTTTGATCCCAGCGTCAGTCTTAGACTCGAAAGAAGATAGCTCACCGATCTCCGGGATCTCTGGCTAGTGTCCCGATGGATCTGACAGTTTGACGTTGTTCCGTTTTGCCTAAATAAAAACAGTTGAACGAGCTTACTAATAATGATAATAAAGAATTTTGTAAATAGTGAACTGATTCTCTTTCAATTTCATGGGCAATTTAATGGTTCTGTTTTTGTTTTCAACTTCTGTTTGTTTACTAAACTTGACGGATGAAAGTTAACGATTAGTTTTTTAGGGCTGATATATCGTATTTGAAAGTATGCAGCAATGGTCAAATATTTGACCTTGGAGTTTTCGCTCTCAAGAAGGACTGTCGAATGCCTATGCACAATCATCACGGAATGTACGGTGTTGTGAAAGTGCTATTTGGCTCAGGCAGAATCCAATCCTTCTCGCCAATCAGAGAAACGCAAGAACATTTTTCGATCGATGACATCGTTGACGCTGAAATCGTTGAGGATATGTCAGTTTCAGCGAAAGAAGGTAGTAATCTGATGCATTTGGAGCCCAATTCAGGAAATATCCACGCTATAACGGCGGATAAAAATAGCCCGCTGGTGTTTCTGGACCTACTAATGCCCCCGTATGATCACCTTAATTATACTGTTTCGTATTTTGAGCTTGTCTCCACCGGTGAGTGTAGGAAAAAGTGCAAGTTAAAAGTCATCCCAGAGCCAACCGACTACAGATGTGACCAATTGGATTACGCCGCTGTGATACAAGATAACCCAAGTTTTGAAAACTAATCTATGTTTTTCTATATACTGAGTAGTAAATAGTGAAGTATATTTTGGAATGGAAAGTGTTTTAGTTTTGATATACACGAGATATCAAATGAGAAAGACGTACTCCTCAAGATTTAGGAATCTAATAGTTTTTTTTTCTAATTAAACTAAATAAATGTACATCAATGTAAACCTGCTTTGAAAATTGACAATTTTCTCAAAAAATTACAACAGTTTTGCATATGGTTCAGAGTCGATGAACGTAGTTCAGACTCTTTTATAGGTCGTAATGTTTTTTTTTGTTTTTTTTTTCACGAAGAGTTAAACTCGTTCAGGATTTCTCGAAGAGCTAAAACTTGGGTTAATTTTTCAAACATCGAGTCAGTATTTTCTGTTTACTTGCATTCTATAACTCTTTTCCAACTGTCTGTTGGCTATGTTTTTATTTTGAAGGGTTCTTTTAAGATGATTGTTAACATAACTGAAGTTATCTGCCTGTAAAATACAAAAAAATTTGGTGTAAGAACATATATTAGTGATAGCATGTGCATTAACATTCGAATAGTAATAAGTTAACCCAGTTGATACATTTTAAATTCGTCAAATGAACTGAAAAAAGCAATTTGTTTCAAGCAACATCATAATAATAAAAACTCGATTTGAGAATTTTTCTAACCCAATATATCTTTTTTTTGAAAATGCCTAATTTATATAAAATATGGTTTTATTTTTTCCAATTTATTGTATGCAAATTTAGTGTGTGCGCATTCAGTATGTTTTATTCCAAACTATTACTTGCAAAATTGTGTCTATTCATATTTGGTGCCACTTTTGGTGCATGGCATTAGCAATTTGTTAGCATTTGTACCTGCTATCTTTGTGTTTGCTGGTTGTTAAGCATTCGTGGCCGAGGAGGCAGGGCGGGAGACTTCCATTCTCGTAGTCGCAGTTTTGAAGCGCAAACGTAGTAAAGTTTTACTAACTCGAGCATTGTTTCTATCTTTTTTTTCACTTTATAAATTTTTTTGTCGTGTTCTCGCAAAATTGTGTCTTTTCATATTTGATGCCAATTTTGGTGCTCTGCATTGGCAATTTCTTAGCAATTGTAGCTGCTATATTTGTGACTTGTGTTTGCTGGTTGTTAAGCATTCGTGGCCGAGAGGGCAGGGCGGGAGACTTCCATTCTCGAAGTCGCAGTTTTGAAGCACAAACATAGTAAAGTTTTACTAACTCGAGGATTGTTTCTCTCTTTTTTTTCGCTTTATAAATTTTTTTGTCGTGTTCTTGCTAGTGTTTGTGAAGCGCAGCCTCGCCTCTGTGTTTACCCTTGCGATCAGCAAATGTATTGTAATCGGATAGTATATTTTTTCCGTAAAAAAATTGGTTCAAGGACTCATCTCATTTATACGTGCGATAAGCAAAAGTGTTGCAACTGAGCACTAGACTATTTCTCCGTAAAACTTTGTTCACAGAAAGGTACATTTCGAAGCAAGTTCGAAATAGTTAGTTAACAAATATTCATCGTACAAATTTTGCCTATATGGCGCTAGAACTTGCTTTGTATGTGGTAGATGCAAGATTTTTGTGAATGATTTTTACTGAAATTATTTTGGCTGTTTTTTTAAAGCTTATTAAGTGGCAGATTTAATTCTGTCAGCTTGTTAAACTATTGTTTTGTTTTACTTGTTTCCAGTCGTTTCTTATTATTGATTCAACTTCGGTAAGGTATTTTAAAATCTTTATAATCGCTTCTTCGACTTCCTTGAAAAAAGTTAGAAAAAATAACGTTAAATTTTGAGACAAACATAAGTTTTCGGTATTGTTTTTCGGCAATTTTTCAATTCTTTACGATTCGGTGGCTTTCTATATCGCATGTAGTGCGAAGCTCAGCTACGCCTCTGTGTCAAAATTTACTCTATACGTTAGTTGTATTTTTACCTATTCGGTTTGTTAGTTTTGAATTTGTTTTTTTTTGTCCTTTTTTACTTGATAGGTTTCGGTATATTTGAAATCGGCGTAGTTAGCATTGGACTCTGTAACCACCCCAAAAGAAAAAGATTTCGACAGATTCAAATCTATTCAAAAAGATTTAAAATTAACAAAAAAATACCCCTTAAAACACACACAAGCACAGGAAAAAATTTTTTGCTCGTCGTCAAACGGTTTCATATGAATTTTCATTTGCTTCTGTTTTAGAGGTTTTTTTTTTGTTAATTTTAAATCTTTTTGAATAGATCTCTCGAATTTGTTTTGGCTCAGGTTACCGCTTGCGATGCTAATTTTCCATTCGATTGTAAGGGCATGTTCTTTTAAACTATCCTATTTCAATTTATGAAATCTAGGTAAGAGTCTACGAACGCGGCGATGACGTTTATATATGTTTTGGTGATTTGTTGTTTGATTTTTTTTTGGGAAAAAGTCTTCAAATTTGTTCACGCTCAATTGACTTTTGATTTTTTTGGTTCATTTCTTCCCTTTTGTTAAAACAAGCGTAATCTATCAAATTACGAAGGCGGAATTTTTTAAGATTTCCCAGCGTGTATTGTGTTTGTGTGTCTTATTATAGAACTTCGATAGTTTTTGCTGATGGTTTTTGGCTTTATGGCTTCTGTTAAGCTCTCGGTTTAATATCCGAATTTAGTATACCACCTTGCATTCAGTACATATATGGCAGTCGCGGATACTATGTGGGCAATAAATATTTTATTTCCCCATAAGGTTTTGGGAAAAAACTTCAGTCAATTTTCAGCTTAATGGTTATCGGCTTCAATTTTGTCGGCTTATTTACCTATGATTTTGTTTCTTTCAGGTTTCCGATTTTATTTATGAGATCGATAAACTTTGGCTCCAAAGTTTCGAAAATTCAAAATTTAGTTTTGACCTCTTTTAACTATTTAAATAAATCTAAATTATAAAAAAAAACTTAATTTCAGTTTTATAGTTTTGATAATAGTTTCTATTATAAAAAACTGTTATAGTTTTTCAAAATAAAGTTTGGCAAATTGAAAATGGGCTACTTTTTTGTCATCTGAAAGGTACCTATGTCCACCCTATTGGAATAATTGAAACACGAGGTATATTTCGTTCTATTAACGCGTGAGCGGCAAATTAAGCCGGCTCAAAAATAATTCCAAATCGAATTAGGGCAAGCTGCTTGGCCTTATTGATGCATAACTAGACGCAAATCATCTCTTTTTTCTTTTTGCATAGCGTGTGAGTGGGATGTTTTATATCAGTTTTGACCAGTTTTTATCTCAGTTTTGATCGGTTATATCTTTGATTGGCCATGCGAAGTTCAGCTTTGCCTCTGAGTTAAAACTAACGTGCTGATCAGTGTTTCTCCAAATGAAACGATAAAAAGTAATTGTATTTATTTATTTTCGACCCAATTAACTGATTTTTAGTTTTTGCCAACAATATTATCAATTAATTTTTTTAAAATTAATGTCGATAATTTTTTTTTCAATTCCGTATATCAATCATCTATTTTCATCACCAAATCATTTAAATATATGTCGAGCACTATCTCCTCCACATTTAAGATCATTTATCCACGAGGGATAGGACCAACATACGAGCTGTACAGCTCATCACGGTGAACCGCTGTTGTGCCCCTGCTTAAGAACTACATGCAATTTTTTTGGTTATTTTTCTGGGCTGGGTAATGTTGCCTCACCCTCAAGCAACGAGCACGGATCATGGTGGGCCTAGAACATCCGACCTTTCGATTGAGAGGCGGAGACGTAACCACTTCACCACTGCTCCCCAAATATATGTTACTCTTACCTCAGGTGGATACAAGTAAAGCGTGTTTATTGATGCGGCTCGTCTCAAAACTTTTTTTGTAAACGCGTGATTTATAGGTGTGGTGCTTTGTGACACAGACCGATTAATGGAAATTAATTTCAGCAAATTAAAATTGAGCATGCAAAAGTCTTAAAGAAATCGCAAAAGTTTCAATTTAAGCAAATAAATCGAGAAGCCTGTAGTTTAGTATATTTCAAATTATTACCTATTTATATCTAGTGCCACTTTTGCTGCAGACTATTGGGAATTTCTTAGCTTATGTAGCTGCTCTATTTGTGGCTAGTGTTAAGAAATTTTCAAGGACCAGTGGCGCAGATTTAAGGACAGGGGACTCGAAATCTCCTGATTGTAGGATCGAATCCGCCACAGTAAAATATCTAGTTTTCAATGCGCATTTTATCCTTTTGTTTATTTTTTCTTATAGAGCTGCATTTTGTCGTTTTCTCGCTAGTGTTTGCAAAATGAAGCTTCGCCCCTGTGTAACTGTTAATATTACAAATCAAATGGAAGATTTATACATAAATTGAGTAAGTTGATCAAATTTTTTTAAATGTGTTATAACTCAATTTATATATAGTTTTTAAATTTTATTTGTAGTATTAACGGTTCTAATTGTTGTTTTTACCAAGGGTATTGCAATCGGTTTTTTGTCTTTTTTTCCCGTAAATAACTTTGTTTACGCGAAACACCTGGACTCCTGGTGATACCTTGCTTCATAATGACTTCAAATTTAGTTTTTCCTGCACACAGCCAGGATGTAACGAATACGCCTCGGACTACGAAATTCCTGCGTTCGAATCTGACTGACATGTTTTTTTTTTAAACGAGACATTGTTTCAAAGGAAATTTTCAGCCTAATATTTGTCTGCTGGTGTTGTCGGCTTAGTTGCAACATTTAAGATACGTTTATTTTTGCTGTAAACTATTGTCATTTTTGTTGCTTTTTGTGTTTTCGAATGCTCAATTTCAATACCTTTTTGAACTTGTTTTTCTAGTTCTCTCTTCAACGTTCGAAGTCCTCTTTGATAGTTCTTGAGTCTCTAGCTGTTCTAATCCTATACTTGTTGTATCACAAGTAAGTGCAAGTATTTGATTAAAATGATTTTTGGAATTAGCTATTGAAATTATTCGATTGCATAAACGCAATTAAAAGTATAACTGCAACTTATTTTGAGCAGCATGAGGCCGATAAATTACTTTAATTCAAAGTTGTCAAGAGTGACTGAAAGCAGTGGATTTTGGTTTTTAGGTTTCTTTTGATCCAGATTTATCACATTGAGTTCATTTAATCAAAAAGTCAACCATAAATTTGTCATGAAAATCGAAGGTCATTACGGCCATATTTTCTACTTCGGAATTCTAAATTTGATGTTTTTTTTTTCAAAAATACTTCCATTTTTTTCTCTGTTTGCTTGTGTTTACTGACTCTTGTAACTGTCTGTTGACTATGTTTTAGTTTCCATGGCTTATCCTGCCAAAGCACTCGTTCAGCATAAAATAGAAGCTTATGTGAGGTTGGGGAAAGAAAACTGAGCCAAAAATTCTTCCTTTTCGTCCGATTGAAGTCGACAAGTTTAATAAGTGCTCAAACATAGATGATTTCGCTAAGAATATGAGTGTTTAGAAACAGTTAATTAAGTCAATTAACATCGTTATTTAGTCGATTAGCGAAGTGGTTAGATCTCCGCCTCTCAACGGGGAGCAATGATGAAGTGGTTCCGTCTCTGCCTCACAATTGAAAGGTGGGATGTTCGAGGCTCGCCCGCAGCCGTGGAAGAGGCAGCACTACCCAGCCGAGAAAAATAGCTAAAGAAAATGAATATAATTCTTAAACCGGCGCAACAGCGGTTCTCCGTGAAGAGCAGAACACCTGGTATGTTGGTCCTTTCCCTTGTGAATAAATCGTCCTTAAATAAAGATCACAGATTTTCTGAAATTCAGTTCATCAAATTTTTTATTACATAAGGTCAAAAGTCAGAAACGCGCTCTACATACGATTGAAATTTGTTGAATTTTTTATGCAACAATTGTACAGAAGCAACAAAAATTGCTGAGATTGTTTTTGTTACTATTCTGTTCTCCTCGCCGAAAAGGATGAACTAACTTTTGTAAGAGACTATTTTCTATTGCCGTCTGAGCATCCGAAGCAGCGTGAAATCCAAACATTGTGTAAAAATGAAAAGCCAATTTTTTTGTATTGAAATGACATAATATGCAAAAATTTTTCGATGACATTTCATCGCTGTAGAATCTCAATGCAAAATCTTTTTTCCGTAGTAGATATCAAAAATATTTCAAATACCCCCTCCAAGCTTGACAATCTTTTTAGGAAAATAACGGATAAGATGCAAAATGAATATCTTTAAATATAAAAACTTGGATTTTTGTGGGAAGGTTTTTTACATAAATTGAGTAAGTTCAAGTTTTTTTAAAAGTTTTTTATTACAAAAACCCTTTAGATGAATTTTTGCGGGGAAGGTGTTAGGTTTTAAGTTTTTTTTAGCAAATCGAAGAAAAAAGCTGTAAAGAAAAGAGCCTACTTGTTACCATTAAACTAAGATGCAACGATATCAGTTAATCACCAAGCTAGATGAGATTTGCAAAAGACCTAAGGAAGGATTCCGATTGGACGAGACAGAAAGAGAGAAAATTGTGGATGTTTTGAGAAAATTGGATATAGGCATGTTCGGACTTGATGTAGAGGAAATGCACGAGTTGATTGTTGACCCGAAACAGGAACCGTTAGTTGATTTACCCGATTTTTTTTTCAACTTGACCTCTTTTTCAAAATAACCAAACTCGTTTCTTTAAATTAACCAAACTTGGCTCGAGGAACAAAAACAGTTTTGAACCTGAAAGATGCCAAAATTCGAGGAAAGCTCGACAATAGGAGCGCCGATAGTTTGGAAGTTGAAAGAAAACGACATTTATTGCGGTCGTGTTTTTATTTTCAGGATAGTTTCTTTTTAGTCCCCGGTCCTACGTACGCAATGCAGGAGTATTCTGCAGAAAAAAAGTAACGCAACTAGAAAAAAGTAACGCAACTAGAAAAAATAAAACCAAAAATTGAGTGAAAATTTTTGAAGCCACAAGATAAATTGGTTATGTTAGTTTTTGCCCCTAGATAGTGATATGCTCAGTTTTTATCCGAGGAAAATTACAAAAAATTTGAGACTTTTGAAGAACAACTAAAATAAGCTCAATTTTCTAGCCTATTATTGAAAAAAATTTTAGACAGTTTTTGCAAAATGTTCTAAGCCGAGCGATAAAACGTGATGTGAAGTTGCATCTCTCAAAGAATTAAACGAAAGTTTTCACTACTTACTGTTTTTTCCGGATCAAAATGTGCGAATTTTGTGTTTTTGATGTAAGGGGCTCTCTGTCTGTCAGATTTCAATTTTTATTCTGTTTCAATTCATGGGTCAGACAAAACGTTCTGTTTTCACACAAGGAATGAAAAAATTTCATGCTCACAAGGTTTCATAGGGATTTTTCTTTGAGTGTTGAAAATTGGTTGCGTTACTTTTTTCTCCAGTATATTCGTGGGGTAGGTGAATGTCGCCGTAGCCAGCCGGTACCATCTTCAGTTCATCAAGCTCAAATTTGATTTTCCGCAAATTATATTTACGCTTGCGATTGGCAAGCGTTATCAAACTGGAATATAGACTTTTTCGGGTTAATAACTTGTTTAACAGAATCAATTGTATCTTGATTCATAATCAATTCAAACTTCTGTGGGTCCCCGAACAACTTAGCCTGGAGTTAGCGAATATGCTTTGGACGGCTAAGGTCCTGGGTTCGAATCTGACCAGGACTTTTTTTTCCAAACGGGAAATAATCTGTTTCAAATAAAATTGTAGGTCAATGATTTGTCTGCTTATCTGTTGTCGGCTTATTTGTCTTATCTTGGATTCTTTTTTTTGCTGCGCGCATTTTTTTAAAATGCTTTTAGTGTTTGATTCATTCCTACAATTTGTAAGTTTACTTACTTTGACTTAATATTTTTCCTTAGTTTTTTGTTTTGCTCAAAAAAAAATTTCCACTGCCTAAAATGTTTCGGTCTATTTTTTTATTGGCTTAATGACCTAATTTGGGGTCGCTTCAAGGGAAACATTTTTGACTTTCCCCTCCACACTTATCAAGTTGGTTGTATGTTTACCAATCAGTTTGTTGAATTATCTAATTTTTCTTTATGGAAAATTATTTCCAAATAAATTGGAAATTTTTTTGTTTTTCTCAGTAACTCTGAATGATTTTGAAAAAAGGGGTATCAATTGAAAGATCGCCTACTCCTTTGTATACCTGTATACTTACTTAGAGTGTTTTTACTTGAACCCTCTGTCTACAGCCTTCGAAAAAGTCTGCGGGGAATATTTATTTGACCCATTTTTTCAATTTTTAAAATCGTTTTCTCGAAAACTACCCCTCTCAAATCCTAAGTTTTTGGTTTAAATGAAATAAACGGTTTTGAATAGTTCCCTGCATGAGCGGCTACTCCCAATATTTTTTACACATAAAGTTATAGCCCTCGGAATAGTCAAATTTTTTATTTTGACCATTTTGTGAATCTTTTTTGACTTTACTCGAAAATTAACGTCTCAAGTCTGATATCGGTGGGTTCAATGGAGACAATGGGTATAGGGAAGCTCCCCTGCATTGGCGGCCTCTCTAAATTTTTACACAAAAAGTAATCGCCCTAGGAAAAGTCAAAAAGTTTAAATCGTTTTCTTCGAAAACTACCCCTCTCAAATCCTAAGTTTTTAGTTTAAATGAAATAAATGGCTTTGAAAAGTTCCCTGCTTGAGCGACTACTCCCTATTTTTATACCTATAAAGATATGGCCCTCGGAAAAGTCAAACTTTTGATTTTTTGTTTTTTTATATAATTTTTTTGACTTTTTTTGAGAACTACCCTGTCAAATCGGAGACTTTGGGTTCAATCGAAATTACAGGTTGAGTGAATCCCTTCTGCGGCTACATTTTTGGTTCACCGTTTTTTTTTCAACATTAAAATTTTGTTCGACATGTTTTTCATGTTTGTGTTGTATCGTAAGTGGTGCTAAGCTATCCAATTACGAAATAGCAAGTGGCGCAAAAAAACAAGAAAGCAATTCCAGTTTCGAATGTTGAAAAGGTTGAAGAATCATTGTTACAATATTTGGTTAAGAAGTTTTGATGGAATTCACAAAAATGAACTGTGATTCTTAAGTCGAATTATTAACACAAATCCCTTCAGCGAGTTATGATAAAGCTAGGTTTATCCTGGTGTTGTTGCTATCTTTTAAAGTCTTTTTTTTGGTCCGGCTCATGAGTATGCACTTTTTTCAATCTGGGTAAGTTTCATATAAAAAAGTGACCGTCATATAAGAATCTTCAAAATTAAAAAACATCACGGCCATATATTTGAGTTTACAGACTCCGTGAGTTTTTGGCCACTGTCAAAATTGTCTGTTGGTTAGGTTTCACTTTCCTCTAGATCTATTCTAGGTGTCTATTTTGGTATTTTTACTACCCCACCCTTCTCGTAAAATATTTTTGAAAATGCTTATAAATTGTTTATACGACCCTTTGCCTTTAAAATGTGATGATACAAATTGCTCACGCTGACAAGTTATATTCACTCTAGCGTTCAGCGTAGTGTATTAGTACACTAGGGCGACTGCTAGAAGGGCGACTGCTCGAAAAGTTTTCATTTTGACTAAAAATGCAGACAAAAGAATATGAGGGAATAAAAAGGCTTGGGGTTGGAAAATATTGTGAGAAGAGGGTGTAAAGAAAAAACTGGGTAATTATGTTTCCTATCCAGTGACGAAATCACCACGATAGTGAGAGTGTCCCTATCGGAATCGAAGTGTGTCAGTGTCATAGCATTTGGGGTCAGGCCAGGACATGCAATCCCCTTGCACAACCACGCCTACATGTACGGATTCATGAAACATGTATTCGGAAAGGGAACCATAAAGTCGTACAGCTTCGCCGAACAAAACGACTCTTACATCACAACTAACAACCGAAATTTCTCTGTCGGAGAGCAAGTGAAAGTTGAGGAACAAGAAGTTGTTCAAGTTGATGAAACGACTGTAAACGAAGTGTTCAGATTCGATCCTGTGATTGGTAATTTCCACACAATTGTAGCCGACAAAAATGAACCAGTCGGTTTTATTGATGTTTTGCTGCCGCCGTACGACAACATTTTTAGAAAGCAAGTTTATTGGAAGGTAATTGAAGAATCTGATCTGAATTGTAAATCGCCAGTATATTTAAGGGCCATAGAGTTGCCTGCAGATTATACAAAATATGTGATAGATTTAGATACTGCATTGAATAGAGTTAAATACATGGTAAAAACTGGAAAATTTAAGCGCAAAATGAAGGCTGACAACTAAACAAGCTATAAAGCAAATCAAAAATTGATATGTTTGTTGACTTTTTTTCTGCAGCAATTAGATTCGATTGAAGCAGGAAGCTGTCTTGTGACAAATTAGTAATTCCTGGTGACTTGTTTCAGTTTCAGGTTTTGGAGTAGCCGTTGGTTAGTTTTTTAAGTTGTATTTGACCATTTATTCGTTTTCCGAGCCTGTGTTTTATAAGGAAGCAGCTTTTTCGAACAAAGATGCATCAATCAATGACATGTTTCAGGTAAAAGCTCAAAAAACGAATTAAAGACACTTCGGGTCTATTTTTTTTCCAGAAAATGTTTGTTCACGCTTGAATTTGATTTTCTAGCGGTTTGACTTTAGATTTAGGAAAAGTCGTAAATGCCTTAATTTTTTACGGAAGTGCATCCATGCAAATTAATGCTTTATGAACACTATATGTATATGTGCACTATTTGAGTTAATTCATTTTCGTCTGATAAAAGTTAGGTAAAGTTGCGCTCTCCAATTATGAGAGTTAATTTTATCAAAAAAGTGTCAAAAAAAGTTGTTCTTGAAGTTCAAAGAGCTGTAAAGTCATATACTTTGAAATTCGCAAGTTAGGTTTTTTTTCTGTTACCTTGCGTTGATTGACTTTTTTCCAGCTGTCTGTTGGCTATGTATTTTAGATTCGATTACATTTTATGGAGTCCTACAATTTAATGACATACAATTTAACACCGTACATTTTAACACTTAGTCATTTCACTACTAAACAATTTAAATCGACTACAATATAACTCCTATTTTCCAGTTTAACACAGTACATTTTAACACCTAGTCATTTCACTATTAAAATTAATGCTGTATGAATTCCGGCTCTTTTCCAGTCCCCCCCCCCTTTCATTTTTTCTGAAATTCATTATATGAAAGTCTTTTTAAAATGATTTTTAATGTTGTAAACTGCATTAAAACGTGTCAGCGTGAACAGGTGAACAAATTTTCACAACATTTCTAACATGCAAATTGCCGTGTGAACAACTTTTGAACATCTCTGTTTTGTAATTTAACAAGGGGGGGGGAACTGGAAAAGAGCCTGAATTCCTTATCTTAACTCTTATCACACCAAAGTTAATCCTGCAATTAACACACGCACCATAATGAAAAACTTGGTTTATCTTAGTTATACATGCTAAAAGGAGGCTTCCTAATTTACTAAGACTCTTATCTACAAGTTATTAATTTATTTTCAATTATACTTACCGCTAAACCATTATGACTACTAAAAAAAAGCTGCTTGTGCTAATTCATGACAATTTGACGTAAAAATTCTCACAAAAATTAAATTCTGACAATCACTTTATACTTTACTCAAGTGATAAACAAACGCAAACACAATAAACACATTATGATTGATTCTTCTTTCGAGTTCACAGTTTCATCTAAAATTAAGCCAATTTTTATAGCGTCGGGCCATGAATTTTATTTCAAGCGAAAAACTAAGTTTACAGAAAACTGGATTTGCTCAAAATATCAAACACATAAATGTCGAGCAACTGCCATTACTGAAAATAAGGAATTAATCGAGACGCGTGGAGTGCATAACCACGACATTCAGCGGGAAAATTGGAGGTCCGAAATGTCATAAAGCATATAAAAGATCTCAGCGAGAGATTTACCCTGACTGTTGCGGAAAGTAGTGGGCAAGCCTGCAAAAAGACGCTTCCCTACAAAAACTCAACTTTTTTGATGCGTCGAGTGGCCATAAGTTCACAAAAAAGAAAAAGTACGAGTATTAAATGAAAAATTACAAAAAATAATGTCCGTTTACGAAGACAAACTGATCTGTACTTTTTCAGAGCGTTATCTAGTTTGTGTTAAACCATTGTAAATTTTGTTTCATTTTCGTTTATTCTTTCGTATGATTAAAGTTCAAATTTTAATCCTACTGAAATTTTTGTCAGCTTTTTTGAAAAGACGTTTCCTTGCAGACTCCCGGAAACGTAACTAAAGCAAGAACTTGACTCGTGCCTTGGCAATTTAATCCCAGGATAATCGCCCTTATTTTCGCGATGCTAGGTTGGGACTACGGGCTGGCAAACACTTAAGCTTTGCGTTTATGTGCCAACAGTTCAAAAAAAGCTGACGAAGCGATCAGGCCTCAAGTTTAAGTTCTAAAAAAAGCCTAGAAAATTAGGCCATATTAGTCAAAGGACGCCTAATTATTTGCGGGCTTTTGAAGTTCATTGAATCATTGCTTGCTTTTGGTTCATTATGGAATGATTCATTAAAAATATTGGCAAGGCCATTTCATTTTGGTTTGAAACATTTCTTTGAATTCGTTTGCAAGGTCATCTCTGTTCAAAACTTACGCGAATTAATTAGCGCGAATTTGTCTGGCTTTAAATGGCAAAAATTCCTTTTGAAGTAAGTTTTCTTTTCATTTTGGATTAAAACGGTGTTAAGTCATAGAAATTGTTTTAAAATGTAGCGATGTTAAATTGCCAAGGCAACAAAAAGTAGGGAGTGAAATTGTAGGTTGTTAAGTTGTTTAGAATTAAAAAGGGGGGAACCAAATTTTATTTTTTAGTTGCAAAATTTGGCCGCACATATAGTTTCACAATTTGATTGAACAATTTTTCTCTGGATTTCACAACAGCCAATGAACAAAATATCAAGGAAAAAAATCTTGTTGGGAAATCCGCTGACAAACAGAAAAAGGTGCAGCTTGCTCTTGTAATGAATGATTGAGTTTTCTCGAAGAACGCTGATTTTATCAAAAAAAATGGCAGTCATAAAATGTTTTAAACGAAAAGAGCAGAAAGGTGATATTTTTTTCGGAAGCTTGATATGCTGAAATTTTTTTGATCGTTTTACATTCTACATCGTATATATTGGTGAGACATGAGTAAAAAGGTTGAAAGATGGGCCTCAATGGCGTAGTTTTAATCGTGTGCCACTGTCACCGGTGGCATTTGGTTCGATCGCATAGGCTCCAAAATATCATGATTACACTAGCGTCAGCTCAGTGTGTTATTATGAACCTTTTTTGTCTAACCTAACTCGCTAATAAAAGTGGTCCTTAAAATTGTTTACTTATTTAGAAATTTCACTGTAGCATTAGAAATTGCATAGCATCTCTGCTTTTTTTGCGGCTAGCTTTCTTTTGGCAGGTGTTTAATCTTTTACCAACTAATTAGCTTCAGTGGTCAGTGTGTGTGACTCTTAATCTCTAGGTCGCGTGTTTTTGTTCTTGTGTTTGCGAAGTGCAGCTTCTTCTGCGCGGTAAATACAACAAGCGAATTTTTTTTACTCCGAGTCTAGATAAATTGGTAGAAAGCGGTAGTTTAGAACACGTAATTTCAGTTTCTTCACCAACAGGACAGCAGGAAACTACTAAGAGAACTGCTAAAAATAATTATTGGTCATGTCGTTGCTGGTTAAGGACTTGCGATGTTATGCTTCACGGAACTTGACTTGGTATTGAAAATGCTGAAAACGCGAGCTTTTTGTCTGTCAATTAAAGAAATCTTCTTTTGCAATTTATCACTTGTTATTACGCTTGCTATAAGCAAGCGTTAACAAATCGGAATATAGACTTTTTCGGGTCACCAACTTGTTTAACAGAATCACTTGGTATCGAGGTTCAAAATGAATTCAAATTTCCAAAGCGTCTCCGACACACTTAGTCTGAAGGCAACGAATACACCTGGGAAGTCGAGGATCCTGAGCTCGAATCTGACCAATTCCTGTTTTTGTTTTCAAACGGGAAATTCTCCGTTTCGACAATATTGTCGGCTTATTATTTGTCTGTTTAAGTTTAGAATTTTTCGCTGCATGCAGTTTTCATTTTAGTTGCTTTTTATGTTTTTCTTTACTCCTGCAATTTGTAATTCTACTAACCTTCGCAGGTTTTCGCTCAAAAAGTTTTGATTAATTGATTTGGATAATATTTAATCGGCTTACTCACCTACTTTTGGGTCGTTTGAGGGAACCATAATTTGTATGTTTTCGTCCTGATTGCACAAAAAAAAGAATAGAATTTATAGTTCAAAATTTTGCTTGAAAAGAATTTTATTTTCGCTTGATAATCGTTTTTGAGTTTTACTAATCGCCGTTCAATGTGTTTCTGGATGTTTTACCCGCAAAGTAAAGATCATTCCAGACAACATTCTGAAATTTTCAATTGTGGTTTCTTCGAAAATTCTTCGAAATTGTGGTTTCTTCGAAAAGTTCAAAATTTTGCTTGAAAAGAATTATATTTTCGCTTGATAATTTTTTTTGACTTTAACTAATCGCCGTTCAATGTGTTTCTAGACGTTTTAACCGCAAAATAAACATCATTCCAGACACCATTCTGAAATTTTCAATTGTGTTTCTTCGAAAATTCGTTACAAGGTATAAAATTTAAAATTCGTATATGATTAAATGTTCATTTTTTTCCCAATAGGGGGAGGGGGATTGTTCTAAGGTACCATTACGGAGGTAATAAAAACAAAATTATTTGAAATTCTAATGTGATAGTGGAAAAGAGCAACAAAATTCTTATGAAATTCTAATGTGATAGTGGAAAAGAGTTAATGTGAAAAAAAAGAAAAGTCACTTGAGTTTTTTTTGGATTACCGGAGTAATGTGGTTTGTTTCGCGCAAAATGAGCTACCGCAAGAAATATTGCAGTGTATTGAAAGAGATCATGAAATTATTTTCAGTCATGGTTCAATAAACATGTAAAATTTGTTGAAGGATCAATAAAACATTCTCATATTCGACTATTAGGCGCGTGGTACACATTTTCCAAGTTGTGGGCAAGTTTGTAAAACTTCTTTTGTATGCAATTTGCTCATTTATGTTACTGTGAACTTCTTCTTAACACGCGGCCCTTGGCTTACTGTTATAAATTGATGACCTCTTATTCTTCAGAATTCCACAAAGTTTGGCGTTAAGTCTGACGATGTTCGAATCATTAAAACAATGAAGGCGCCCTTTGGAATTTGAGATAAAGTTGCTGTTAGACTGCGTATTTGCTCAGTAATCGGTCAGACTATATTTATTCTCCCAATTAATCATCTGATAGCCGATTTTTGTTAACTATCGTCCAATGTGGTGACCGAATGATCTCGCCATCACTTAATTATTGTAAGATGAAAGATAATCAAATGATTTTGAAAGTTGGATGGAAGCAATGATATATATCGTTGATATAAATATTTAGATAATGATTCCTTCAAATCATTCCCGTTCTATATATATATATATCACGTTAACTACATCATTCATTGTTATAGAAAAGCGGTCAGAGCTAGACTTTATTCTATATTTTGGAGCCACTTTCACATAAGGGGTGGTTTGCTCGAGTATTTTTTTTGCAAATTTATTATCTCGCCTTGCTCTAACCAATTATGAATTCAGGTACCAAATTGGCACCAGTTCTAAATATGAAGCGCACAATACCATCTGTGTCGCCTTCAGAAAAAGAAGCATCCAAAATTAATTACCACGAAAACAAAGTTGAACAATCGAAAGCTACCATCGGCCATCTTAGACAGCTAGATGAAGACGAAGTTTTATTCTCTAAGTCGGAAACAAAACGACTAAGACAAGAACATGTTGGTCCGAACGTGGCCATCTTCTTCAAAGAAGATCCGCTCATGATTGTTAGAGGGAAAGGTCAATACCTATACGATGAAAACGAAAACGAATATCTAGACTGCAATTCGAATGTAAACCACGTAGGCCATTCGCACCCATATGTTGCAGAAGCAGTCTACAAGCAGATGCTAACTTTAAATGTAAACAGTCGTTTTTTGAACGACAAACACTCGATGTATGCGAAACGGTTGACTTCGAAGTTTCCTGAGAAATTGAAGTTGTGCTACTTTGCGAATTCGGGTTCAGAAGCGATTGATCTGGCGGTCCAAATGGCAAGAGCATACCACAAAGGCGCTCGCCAGAAGGTGCTATGTCTCGAGATGGCTTATCACGGACACTTAGAAACAACGATGCGCATCTCGGATTATAAGAAGAAAAACGGAAAACTTCCGTATGGTTTCGCAGATTTGGGCAAACAGGATTGGGTGAAAGTGGTGCCCATGCCTGACCCTGTAAGAGGAAAGTTTGCCCATATTAAGGACGAAGCGGAGCAATGTGATGCGTATTTGAAAGATCTTGCCGAAGTGATCGAGTCTGAGAAAGATGAAAATGGAGTTTGTTCAGTCGCTGCTTTCATCGCCGAGTCTTTTCCCTCTTGTGCTGGTCAAATTATTTTTCCGAAGAATTACCTCAAAAGAGTTTTTGAACTTTTGCATAAAGAGGACATTCTGTGTATTGCAGATGAAGTTCAAACTGGTTTTGGGCGAATTGGAACCCATTTTTGGGCTTTTGAAATGCACGAAGTCGTACCGGATATGGTCTCGGTTGGAAAGCCGATTGCTAACGGGTACCCTTTGAGTGCTCTTGTTGTAACGAGTGAAGTTGCAACTGCATTCTGTGCCGGAAAGAGAACGTATTTCAACACGTTTGGAGGTGCACCCGTCTCAATGGCTGCTGGCTTAGCGGTACTTGATGTTATTGAAAACGAAAAGCTACAGCAACATGCTTTAGAAGTGGGGACATATTTGAAAGGAAAGTTGGAAGAGTTGAAGTCCAAGCATTGGATGATTGCTGATGTTAGAGGTCAAGGACTATTTGTAGGCTTTGAACTCATTCGGAATAAAGATACGCTTGAACCAGGGACTGAAGAAGCGGATGAGTTGCAAATGCGAATGATGAAAGAAGAACGCGTGTTGATCAATCTTGACGGCAAGTTCAATAGTGTGATCAAGTTCAAGCCGCCGATGTGTTTCTCGAAGAAAGATGCAGACACGGTTTACAAAGCGGCAGATAGGATTCTGGGCGAGATTGAAGCGAGTCTGGAATCGAATGAGGAACATGCGAAAGAGCGAGGCAACAGTTCTTGAGTTATTGAATTTATCACACTTGTTAATCATACTTTAGTTAGTAATATTTTAGATCTAATACTAACTAATAGTGTATGATAGCTTGTTATTTATACCAATCGAGGGTTCGAATTTTTAGTATAGTTAGAAATTGTATAGATCTTGTCCGTATCTGGTGCTCTATTTAGACTCACAATCTTTATTCTGTTCGAAAAGCCTGGTGCTAAACTGATGTTATGAATATTGAGTACTTACTAGTAGGATACAATACGGTAGATTAATATGTCTGATCTGGTATCAGCCAGCAATAGATTATATAATCTGTTCACACTGCGACCAGCTGTTTGCAAAAATAATCTAGTTCTCAAAATGTTACTGCTTCAGCACTAACTTGGAAACCAATTAATATATTAGTTTTGAACTAATGATGCGTGCGTTGGCTGTTGCGGACGAAGTCATTGTTTGGGGTGGTAACGATTTAACTAGCGCATCCCAACGATTTGTTCATAGACACGTAATGACTCTCATTGATCTAGTGCTGATGTACTTGTCGAGATTCCTTCACTCCCCCGCAACATTATTACACTTCTTCATAGACCCCACCCCCTAAAATATGAACCCTTCGTGGGAAAACTTTTGGCGGGTCTGCAGCTAGCCCCGAAGGATTCTGCTGCTAAACAGAGCAAGTTCTGCTGCTCTATAAAAATGTCTGCTTTTTTCTTCCTTATGAAAATTTTTCAGTAATCATGCGTTAATTACAACTTAAAATAACAGAAAAGGAATCACATTAATTTGAGTCCGATATGCTGGTGCAAACACGAAATAGTCGAATACAAAACAGTCAGAAACCATTTGAATTTTTTTACCTTGATCTTTTTGGCGCTGACAGAATTGACTTATGCTTGAAACATAGCTGAGCGTAATTAAAGATCAAAGAACCAAAAATCTAGCAATTAATCAGATGAAAATCAAAGGACACATGGTGTAGTGGTTAATGAGTTAGACTCAAACCCTTCAGATCAAAAGATTGAATCTCCGGCCGCACAAAATGTTTTCCAATATTTCGAAAAAAAAGTTGAAATTTGGGTAAATAAGATCACTGGTATATCCAGGGTACAAAAATGGGCTCAATTTTAGAAAGGTGGGTGAAGGGTAAGGGAAATTAACACCATGTATGTATCCATCATTTCACCGATCTCAAATCGATTCAAGCTCAATTTTAAAAAATCAAGGAAATTAATCGAACTTGGAAAGTTTTTTGCTTGGCAATAATGAATAGAAATGAAAATTGAAAACAAAACAATGTTTTTCGTAATTTAATATAGAAACTACATCCCCGTACAAATCCATTGATATCGTTAGGTGGATATGGCCGCATGATAGTGATTAAGTTTTGTCGATTTTTTGGTGTTTAATTTTCTGGGTCTGGTTACTTTTTGTCCGGCGCACACTTTTTTCACTAAAATGTGGTCGTTCTCTTGCTTGTCTCTGAGCTTCTTGATGAGTTGTAGAAAAAGAAGAGCGCTTGCTGTTGACTAGTATCATGAAATAGCTTTTTTTGGAATATTGGAAAAAACATTCGGAAAAGCTATTTTTCTTGAAACTTGTCAACAGCATGCACTGTTCTTTCAATTTGACGCAGCCAACTAAAACTTCGTTCATTATCGGTTTAATACGAAGGAGTGTATGTAACGTTTTTTGCGATTTCTGTAAATTTGGGACATCCATTTTTTTTTCGTTTGCATTTTTCCTTTTCATGAATGGAAGAATAATAAATATAGATTTGCCATTATCGCAAAAAATGTCATTGATTTCGAGACCATGTATATTTCCGAAGTAGCATGTGAAGTCGTGGAATAGAATTGACCGTTTTGCCTTGAAAAAAATACAATTTTTTCGTGGACACTTGAAATATATTTCATTTTTTTAACAGTCAACTTTATAGGCACCTTGAAAAAATTGAATCCCCTGGCCCAGATCAAAATCACAATGAATGTTTTTCGCGTCTAGTTTTTTCTTCTCCGACTGCAAATAAACTTGAAAAACAATTGATTGGTCTTGAGGAAAATGGGACGTTGCTGCTCCATTTTTTTTTTGAAAAAATGCCAAAAGATTTTGAATAATCAGCTAAAACTTAGTGTTCAGTTTCGGTAACGTTAAATTTAAGATCCTGAAATTAAGATTCATAGGAATAGTTAGATTCTTTGATGCTGAGTGAAAACAATTTATGTATTTGCTTGCTTTAATAACCCGTTGTCCTCAACCATGTTGACCAGAGTGTAACACAAATTGACGGCTGGAAATTCGTATTTTCAGTTCTTTTTGATGAATGATAGACCAGGAAAAAGTTCGTAATATTACTTTTTACAATGAATTCAATTGCTGTTTAGCAACATTTGCAGCATCAGCAGAGCTCGACAAAAGTTTTATTGAAACCAAACTGCATTTTTTCTGATACCGCAAAATAATTTTTAACAAGCTTAGATAAGAGTTTTTTTCGGGGTATAATTTTGGCGTAGATCAGAAGCTGGAAGAATTGCACCTCCATTGTTGCAATACTTCCGAAAAAAAAATTTGATAGAGATGATTTTTTAAAGGAATGTTTGCCCGTAGACACATAAACAAAATCCATTACAAACTCGCTGCATTTGTCGTAAGCAGAAATTGCAGCAATGATAGTAGGTTGTTTTTCAGTAAACAGCTTGGGTTTAATTTTCACAGGTTTGCCGATGACAAACGATCAAGGATTGTAGATAGTTTCATTGAGATACTTTCACAATAATATTTTCAGAGAATATCTTTTCGGGAAACATAAAATGCCGGGAAAATGAGATTTCCACTGGTAATTGGTATTTGTTGTAGTTGAGCTCTTTGGAGGCATAATTTAATATTAGCTTCTTGAATTGATGCTGATTTGAATTTCTGAGATGTAAGTTACCATTTGCTATTAGCAAATACAGCGATTTTTGATTAAAGCCTAGTAAAATAGCAGATTTTGTTAGATGAGCTAGATGCAATTTGTATTCCTGATTCTTGAGGAATATTATTCGAGCATTTTTTGGGATTTTTTGATAAAATTTCTATTTTTTGGGACTTCTGAGAAAATGTGTAAATTATTCCGTGTGATTGAAACTCTTTCTGCTGCTCTTTGAAATTTTGTGATCCATAAGCCCAATTCCGCCAGTTCTGCTGTAAGCGTAACTCTTCGGTCTGGTCTGAACTAAATGAACCCCAATGAAAATAATAAACTCTAAATTGTATATCCAAATTTATGAAACGTACTATGTTGAACAGTTTGGAAAAAAAAACATTTTTTTTTATGAAAAAGTAATAATATCAATACAACACTGAAACTTAATGCAATTTTTTGTCCAAGAAAAGGTTTGTCTCGATTTTGGCTTGATATTGATCAGAATTGTACCACAGTGTATTGCGGGGCCCCGACCCTCCGAACAAAACCCACCCGCAATGATAAACAACTCTTTTTGTCCAAAAAATGACCCAACACCGGTAATTTTTGACCACCGCCAATTAGTTTCTGCAGAGTACTTGCTGGCGTAAATATTTTAAAAATGCAAACCAGACGTTAGAGCAAGTCTTCTTATTAGGGAAAATCCATTTTCGGTTTAGTTACAATTTTTGAACAAAATTTCATTAAAGTTCTGATGGAACTCAAATAAGATTCATCAGCTTAGTTAGATTCTATGATATTGAGTGAAAACATTTTATTTATTTGGTTGCTGTATAACTAGCTACTCTCGACCAACGTGACCATAGTGTAACACATATTGACGGCGGGATATTCGATTTTTCAATTGTTCTTTTTGATGACTGAAAGATCAGGAAAAAGTTTTAGTTATTACTTTTTACAGCGGTTTTCATTGCTGTTTAGCAACAATTGCAGTATCAATAGAGCTCGAAAAAAACTTTTATAGAAACTAAATTACATTTTTTTCTGATACTGTAAAATTTTTTCAACAAGCCGTGATAAGAGTGTTTCGCAAGATTGTTTTTTTTTTGCTTGTTCCGGGATGTAGTTTTGGCGAAGAGCAGAAGCTGGAATAATTGCGCCTGCATTTTTGCAATACTTTCGAAAGAAAAAAAATGATCTAGATGGTTTTCTCTAAAGAAATATTTGCCTGTAGACTCATCTAACAAAATCTTTTACAAACTCGTTGCGTTTGTCCTAAGCAGAAATTGCAGCAATAAAAGTAGGTTGTTTTTCAGTAACCGGCTTGAGTTTAATTTCAAATGTTTGGCTGATGACAAACAATCAAGGATTGTAGATGGTTTCGTTTAGATACTTTCACATCAATATTTGCCGAGAATATCATTTTCGGAAACATAAGTCGACAGGAAACGGAGGTTTCTGCTTGTAATTGGTATTTATTGTAGTTGAGTTCGTTGGACGAAAATTGAATATTAGAGTTGTGACTTGATCATTTTTGGATTTCAGAGATATAAGTAACCACCATTAGTTAATAGCAAGTAGAGCGATTTTTGATTGAAGGAATAGTGAAATAGTGTAGTAGTGTATCGGTGCGTAATTTGTGTTTCTGAGAAAAATCAGATTTTTTTGGAGATATGTTAGATGCGTTTTGTATTTCTGATGAATGATATTTGAGCATTCTTATTATTTTATTCTGGGATTTCGGAGAAAAATGTGTAAATAATTCCGTGTGATTGAGTTTCTGCTCTTTCTGCTGCTTTTCAAAGTTTTGTGCGCCATAAATTCAATTCCGCCAGTTCTGCTTTAGCTGAATTCTTTTGTCCTGGCCTGATCTGCAGGGACCCCACTGGAATTATAAAACGATAAAATGTAAAGACAGCTTCGGAAAACTTACTGTTTTTAATAGTTTGGAACAGTTAAAAAACCTGTTTTATGCAAAATTTATAGCAATACAATACTGAAACTTTAGGCTATTTATTTTCCAAGAAAATGTTTATTTTGATTTTGGCATTATGTTAATCAGAATTGATCCGAAGTTAATTGAAGGGACCCCCCTCCCCCATTAAAACCCACCCGCAATGTAAACGTCTTTTTGTCCAAAAAATGACCAATCCCCAGGTAATTTTTGACTCCCGCGAGTTAAGTTTGCAGAGTACATGTTAGCGTAAATATTTTGAAGAAGCAGACCAGACGTTAGAGCAAATCTTCCTGTTAGGGCAAATCCCTTCGTATATAAAGCAAATTAAATGCCTTCCCTTAAATGTTTAAGATTTTTTGAAGTTTTTTAACTCTGAAAGATGATGTCATTTCAAAGTTTGAGTTTTTGGTAAATCACCCCCGCGCGCTTTGTGAAGCACTAAGTGATACATTAAGTGTCAAGTAACGTAATAGTTTTTAACAACTGGCTGTTTTCAAATCAGTTTGGATAGTTTTTTTATGCTGGATTTTTTCAATGCTTACGCGTTAATATCACGCTCTATGTCGCGTGTTAATCATCACAGTATGGCTTGGCAATTTTGAAACCCCCATAATTTTAACAAATGAATGATTGCTGGTGAAATAGCATTATAATTTTGAGCTCAGGGCAGCACATGCTTCCAGTTGATAAAATAATTCCTGTCAAAAATAGATTGTTGGAAGTTTGTCTGGAGAAAAACAACCAGTTCAAGCACAGATAATCCGTCAGTTTCTTTGAAAATTGGAACAAAAATAAATTTACAATTTTAGAACTTTTTATTTGCTCTAAAATATCATTTTGAATTGAATGCGTTCAAATATTATCACATTACTGCTATTATTTTTCTGTAAGTGGTAGGCAACGTTTTCGCCGCCTGTGATTTCATCAAATGATATTTAACTCATTATTAAACGATTGTCTGGTTTTTGTTGCAGGTGAAGGGAGTATGACTGCTCAAATCCTTGTAGTTTTCGAGATATGACGTGTTTTATGATTTCTTTTCAATTTCTCAAACTTGTAGTTGGGTACTGTAAGGGTAATCTCAGGAGTTTCATGTTGCAAGTTTTGCGTTCCATTGCCTTCCAAGTTTTGCTCTAATGCTTTCAATTTCTGAGATGTGACGTTTGTAGTTTTTTTTTAGTTGTTCAAAGAACTTAGGTTTAAAAAATTTTTTATGTCCCCATCTCTTTAGTGAGGCTTTATCAGGGCACTCCTTGGAGTTGCGAGTTTTTCCTTCAAATTTGACTGCTTAAATTGTCGTAGTTTTCGAGATATGACGTTTTAATGATTTAAAAAAAAATCAGAAAACCTAAATTTAATTTTTCAAAGTTTGTGGAATTCCTAACCCTCAAGTTGGGGTCTGTCAGAGTAGTCTCAGGAATTGCGAATCTTGCCTCCAAAAGAGAGTGCTCCATTTTTTTAATGCAGTTTTGGAGATATGGCACTTTTTTTGGTGTTTTCAAAAATATAATCAGAAAACTTCAATTTGAATTTTCTCAAATTTCGAAGTTTCCGACCCTGTAGTTGAAATTTTTCAGTACCCTCAGAAGTTACGAATCTTGCGTCCAAATTCGATTGCTCAATTGCTTTTAGTTTCAGAGATGTGAGGTTTTTCTGTCCTGTAATTGGGTGCTGTCAGTACACTCAAAGGATGCAAATATTGTTTCCAATATATACCGTTTTTTATGACTGTCATAAATTCGAAGCACTGGAGGTGCGTTACACGCTAGTTTTTTTTATTATTTCTAGATGGAATAAAGTGGAGTATCACATGTATGGTCTTAACTGACCTAGATTCTACGGATTTTTTGTCGAAGAATAAAATATGTATTGAGCAAAGTTCGGTTTTTTCTATAAAACTTGTAATTGAAATTGGGTTCTTAAATTTTTGTGAGGAGGATTGCGAACATCAAAGAATTAAAAAAGAGGCAAATAAATCATGGTAAACTTGTCAAAAAGGCTATTAGCAAGTGCTGTCAACTGGTACTCTATGGTACTCTACTTTTTTCTTGTTTACACTTGCGAGCTTTAGCGAGCGTAGTGTAATAGTACGACTATTTTTTTTTCCAATCTAAGTCACAAATATTGGTGCCGAATAAAGCTATTTGATTCAAATAACAGTGCAATGATATGTATTCAATTTTAGAAAATTTCCTACTAAATATATCAGAAATTTTTGCAAATGCATAATTTGTTCGTAATTTGGTCTCATGCTTTCCAATTTTTTACATCCAAAGTTTGTGTGGATATCTTCAGTTTGTTATATTCCAAATTATTACATGCAAAATAGTGTCTAGTTGTGTTTGGTGCCACTTAAGCTGCATCGCATTGGCAATTTGTTAGCATTTGTAGCTGCTTTTTTGTGACTAGTGTTTGCCGATAGTTAAGTGTCCGTGGCCGCTTCGCCTCCGTGAAAAAAAATGTCTAAGAAGACTGTGTAAGAATTTTGTAAATTCACGTAGTTTTCTTAAAAATGAGAATGACTTTTTCATTTGTAATGTCATTTCTCATTTTCAATTACCAATTGACATTTAAAAAAGTCTTCTGTTGCGAGCATAAAATTCAGTTCTAACTTTAAAACTGCAATAAGATATACACAAAAAACTTAGGCAATGTGAAAAGTAAACTTTTTCCGCAATTGATTCCTTCACCTGCCTTAAAATTTCCTTCGCCCGTCGGCCAAAGTCACAAGTGGAATAGTTGATGTAGACTCAGATTTTCAAGAATTTTCGCTCTCGCTATTTTTAATTTTTTTTATTGTATCGCAAAGCTATGCTTCGTTTCTGGGTAAAAAGTGAAACCTCCTTTCGTTTCTTTTTTTTTCTCAAAAACAGCGATTGGAAAATTCTGCACTATTTGCACAGCGAATTTTTTCCCGATGGTTCAAAATAACTCCGATAAGGTCTTCATTAAGAATTACGGTTTCGTGAAAGGGAAGTATAGTAATGTAATATTGATTTTTTTAAAATCGCATAGTGGTTCCAATATGGGGTCGTAAAATAGTTCTTCCTTCCAACTTTTATAGTTTGGAGAAGCCTTGACTTTGAGTTTTCCTTTTGCTCCGACTACATCACGAAGTCAGGGGAAAAGACTAGGGTATTTTTTTCCGCCCAACAGAGGTTGCGTAGGGTGTTTTTTTTTCTACCGAGTTTTTCTACCCTAAGAAAAGATGGTTAAAAAGTCAGAAAAAATACCCAGCTGATTAGTAATTGGTTTTTGGAGCGTCCGCGGCCAAGCACGTATTTCTTTTAACTTAAGGCCAAAAACTTGCAGCGAACATCCCGAAAACCTTGGTTACTTTTTCATTTATAGCGGCAACCAGTTTAGCCGGAAGTTAAGGTGCTTTTGTAATTTAACCGGACTCTCTGTAATTATTGCTCGCTATGCGTTGTTCTGTTTTTTAAGCATCATGTTTTTCATCAAAGTCATCGGGCTTTTTGGGGTCATTGCAATAAGCAAGGGTGTTGCAACCGGGTACTAGACTTTTCCCGTAAATAACTGTGCTCATATGATAACTGAAATTGGTAGTTTTTCTTGTTTTTTGTCGACTAACAGACAGACGAAGCTTAAGCATTTCTTCGTTTTATTCGGCTTTTAAGGTTTCGGCTGATACTATATCGACTCAGCTGTCTCATTTTGAGTCGTTGGATGTGCAAAGAAAATTTTTTCTTCCAAATTTTATGAGGGCGACTTTAAAGCTTCTTTAAATCAAAATCTTTTTGTTTCGGCTCAACGTCTGCTCAAGTTTTGTCGGCTTTTTAACGCTTTGTTTTCATTTTTGAATCTTATTTACCCTTAAATTGTCTTACTGGGCATGTTTTTCTTGTCTGAAGTTTATTTAAGACAAAATCAAGAAAAAGTATGAAAACTTTCTGTCTGCTTTCGTCTCATGTTCTGTCGATCATGCTAATTTTTTGTGTTGTATCGCAAGTGGTGCGAGGTTTCGCTTAGTCTCTTTGAATCTTTATTATTAAACCGAATGATGCATCGTAGGAAAAGCAGAAGGAAAAATGCAGAGGAGTATTGCTGTCTTTCATGTCTGGCCTCAGGTCGCCAATTAGATCCATTAGATGATTAGGTGGCCCTTGTCACTGTTCTTCGGATGTCAGACATGTACGTTTTCGGAAATTTTCTGTTTATTCTTTGAAGTCCCGCGGAAAAGTTAAGGCGTCGTTTCTGTTTCTGAGAGGGTGGTAACCGATGAATGTTAAAAAATCATCTTAATTATTCTGTAGATAAGAATGTTATCTTTTCGCAATTTGGTTCGAGTGGTCCCGCAAGCAATTCAAAGAACAGCACCTACTGCAACTGCAGTCAAACAACTCTCAATTTTACCCTCTAGGAGCTCAACAACTGCCAGTACAGCTAACACACTTCATCGAACATCAGTGCCACCCGACACTACAGAACGACTGCGTACTTTTGGCCAGTATGTTGCCGACTGTTTGCCCAAATATATCCAGCGAGTCATGATCCAGCATGGAGACGAACTGGAACTGTGTATACATCCGGACGGAATAGTTCCGGTTATTATGTTTTTGAAGGACCACCATAATGCGCAGTTTAAGAGTCTGGCAGATATAACTGCAATTGATGTGCCGGGCAGACCTTACAGGTTAGTGGTGGGGTGTAGATTTAAACGAAAACCGCATAGCCCTATTATAGTAAGTTAAGAAATGTCAATTTTTAAAAGGTGCCTATCACTACTGATGTGCTTTGGTGTTAACAATTTCCTTCTATCTTTGTTTTTTTTTAACTAAAAATACGAAAAAACTGCGTAGAATATCTAGAGAATGTTTGGTTGCTATAGGGTGAGGCAACATTTCCCAGTCTGACCGTAAATTTTAGGCGCAGCAGCAGCAGTTTTCTTCAAGAAATTGAACAGCTATGTTGTGTAGATCCTTGGTCTGTAGGAAAATGGTCTTATCAAAGTGACTTGTTGGAATGAAAAATGGTATTTATTGTAGGTTTGAGCTGGTCTACAATCTCCTGAGTCTGAGGTACAATTCTAGAGTGAGAGTGAAGACATACACTGATGAGCTGACTCCAGTAGAGAGCATCTTCAATGTACACAAGGTATGCATACAATAGTCACCTTAAAACACAATCTTTGATTGATTCTGATCATTATTGTGAGTTAATTTGCGTTTGACGTGTACGTTTTAGCGGTTTCTGCCAATTTATTAGATACAGCGCGGGTATCACCCCAAAATTGCGTTAACTTATTTTTGTTAAACGTATTTAAAAAAAACTAATTTTTGGTTGCGAAAACATACATGAAAACTTGAAAACAAAATAACCTTGAAACGAGATTTGCATCTGCGCCAAATAAATTGAGCTGCTCTTTGTTGTAGGCAGCCGACTGGTACGAGCGTGAGTTGTGGGACATGTTCGGTATCTTCTTCGCTAATCACCCCGACCTCCGTCGCATCCTCACAGACTACGGCTTCGAGGGGCACCCCCTCCGAAAAGACTTTCCCCTCTCCGGATTCGTCGAAATCAGGTAGTAACCACCATATTAGTGTCATGAAAATAATTTTGTCGAATGAAGTTTTTTTTGGTCAGCTTCTACTTCGCTCAGAAATCGTGCTAGGACTCGACCTGCGATATTTAGCGCGGACGCCGTTCGATATTTCTAACGTGTGGGTGTTCTCAAAAGCCTGAAATTTATTGAAAAAAAAAATATTTTTTGTTTAACTTAAGATGGTAACAATCAAACCGTGAGACGACAATTCGTAACGGGCGACAATTCGCAAGGGGCGACAATTCGTTACACACGACAACTCGTAACAGGAGACAATTCGGAACAGTAGAATTAACTGCAAAAACGGACTCTCGTGCCAAATGTAAGCCCAGAGGCGCAAACTTTCGCTGCTTGCCAATGACTGGTTACGAATTGTCGCCCTGCCCCATCAAACTGAACAGGTTTCTAGTAAGCCGCGCTAGTCTAATCGGATGGAACCCAACGGCCTTCATACTAATGGGGCTTTCGAACCATTTAGCGCCATTCATTTGAGCGGCTAAAATTAATACGTTTCTCCAGAGGTGTCGATAAACAATAATTTTACACGAGTCGAAACATGTTTATCTGCCACGTGGTCAAAAACATCCAAAGATTGCCTGCAATTTTTTTTCATAAAACTTATAAAATAGGGCTCACCAATGTTTTCGAAGAGTGCAAATTTTGTTGTAAGGCAGCAAAAACCAATACCTAGAGAAATAAAAATTAATGAGATTTTTTGCCAAGAAGAAGCATGTTGATTTCCCCGAAATGTAATTCTTCATCATTCAAGATCTGATGTTAATTTTAATCAAAATACATTTGGATTGATTGTCAAGCCACTCCACGTTTCCTCACCGCCCGGTTTTTCAGGTACGACGACGAATTGCAGCGAATAGTGCAGGAGCCAGTGGAGCTGGCCCAGGAGTTCAGGAAGTTTGACCTTGAGTCGCCGTGGGAACAGTTCCCCGAATTCAGAACTCCGTTGATTGAACCGGCCAAGGAAGAGGAAGTGAAGGATGAGCCACAGGAGAAGAAATAGATTTTAATATGTAACCCTGCAATTGATGCAAACAAAATTGATGAAATTTAACATTTAGCTGTTTGCGTTTTATTTTGCAACCGAGTACCAGACTTTTCGAAAATTAGAAATAATTTCGTCCATAGGACTTATCTGGGCTCATTTCCTGCTGGCAGCAATTTTACCGCAACATATATATTTTGTGCATGTTAGAATTTGAAATATCCGTTCGATTCGAAGTTCGCTTTTTATTTTTGTTTTAATTTTACCAAATTGTTTTGCTAATTTTCATTTTTTTGTTTTCGGTTTTGTCTTAAGTATTCTCGACTTTGTTACCGCTTAGTAAGTTTTCTTCTCATGTAAATTTAACATTCTATTGTCTTGGTTTGTTTTTTTTTTCTTCAAAACTTGGTTTGGTATGCTTGGCTTGTTAAGGGCGTAGTGTCCTCAACGCCCTCAGCTTTATTCATTTCGATAGATCTAGTTTTCCCCACATTTTCTATTTTTTCAACTTAGCGGCTTTTTGGATTGTATTGCAAGTGGTTCGAAACTCCGCTTCTCCTCTGTATCTCAAAATTGTTCTCAAAATTCCCATTCGAGGTAATGGGTCTTCAAACTTGAGTTTTGGAAATTCAAAAAGCGGATTGAAGTTCAATTGCGGTTGGTAAAAATTTTCTGACTGTCATTAGCAGTACCATGACTCATTTTACTTCACCTGATTGTTTTCCTTTGACAAGCTATCGGTAAAGTGTCTATTTGTAATGGCATCCTGTTCGTTTCTGAGGATAATTTGGTGTAATAGTCCAAAATCATCAATCTTACCAGTTTTCATTTGTTATATAGCACAATCTCTTGTCCGCAACGCCCTTAATGCTTACTTGGGGGTGTCATGTTGCACATTGATATAATTAATTGATCTTATCGATCAGATGTCATTCATCACATAGTTATTTTGGTAGCCAGAAATCCATAAGTTGCAAGGCATCCAGTTTTATATTTTAAGCGTCCATTCTACTAATTCTCATCTTTTGCTGTATCTCTTTCATCTTCGAGAAGTTATTTGAAGTGGTCGCCTTTTTTGAATAGTATGATGTTTTGAATAACTTTTTTGAAGTAACGGATCTTTTCAACGCCAAACACACCCCCCCTTTATGGTACCTAGTAAGGAAACCTTAAGGACCATTTCAATGGCTAAGAATAAGCACGTGTGAAAATAGAGTATAGTAACGCTTTTCCTCTTTTGCAATAAGGGAAGTGGGGGATTGGTTCTAGAGATTCAGTAGCAAAATCGAGACACTTCATTTATTCCCGATATTAGCGGATATTAACTGAAATGATGTCGTCTAACTTCAAAGCTATGAAGAAAACGCTTGCTAAACAATTTCGAGATGAGAGTCAAGATTATTCAGCCGCAAATACATTGCCAAAGAGCTTGAAGCATAGATATACGAAACCAATAGACAACAGTTTCGGACAAAGTTTCATCGACACTGATTCAATTACTGATGCTAAACAAGAGAACCTCCTGAAAATCCTCTCTCGTTTCAACTCTGATATGTGCATTAAAGAACTAGACGTTCGTCTACACAGTTGCAAGCTTGCTCTGGAACTTATCGAACAGCAGAAAGTTTTTGTAGACGATTTACTTCTGACGCTCAAAGAGCAACGAATCAAAGCTGGATTGTTGAAAGTTAAACAGAATCAATTGGAGAGTTTGAAGTATTATAATACTTTTCCGGAAGATAATAAATTAGCAGTGAAGTTGTACGACTTCTACAAAACAGATCTGAAGATTCTGGAGTCCGAGGAGTTGCGATCGAAAGGGTTCCTTGCCTTGGTTAGGGAATCAAGGTATCTCTCAGCGCGTTTCGTCGACATCGGCTCCAATGAGTTCTGTGGGAATTCGGCGAGGTTGTTTCTGAGAATCGATGACGTCACGTGTTTGAATGAGGGCGTGGTGAAAGTTTCTGAAGATGTGAAGCTATGGGGTTGCATGTGGAATTTCGGGGTGCAGCTGAATAAAGCTATGTAGGTATTCGCTTAAAATTTCAGTTCTTTTGAAGCACTATTGCTATGATGATATTGTACAGCAAAATTTTACAAAAAAACTCTTACAACCAAGTCTTTATAAATTTTGGCCAGGATTTTTGAAGGAAGAAAACATAACAATGAAATGGGATTCAAAATTGTTGAATAATAGAATCTACTTCCTTCTTTTATTAATTCATTGGGTTTTTGTAATATGTTTAGAACCCTGAAGCACCGAGCTCTCGCTGTTCTCCGTCACGGCAGTGGAACATTTCTTAGTTGCTCGCTCTACTGTAAACCCCCGAAAATCAACTCACAATTCCGTTACTGCAATACAACACTAATTGCAAAATTCTCTCTGCTCAATAAACAGGAACCCGAAAAAAGCATTGAAAGACTAGTGGAAAGTGGGTTTGAAGCAACAAAGCCGAACAGCTGGACAGCCGACGACTTAATCCAGTGGGAGGTTTTGAGGACTGAGTGGAAATCATGGACTGCGGGAGGTACTTTGCTGCTCGAGTGTAACTTCCAATTGAAACAAGACAAGTTCATGAAGTTTGACGAAAGCTGAAATACCGGGATTTTGACGATCGTTCTTGATGACCTGTCCACCATGTATAACTTCGTTAAATTTTTTATATAATTAGTTTTGAGTAATTGAAGAATTTTTTATTCGACGTGGGTTTTAATTTATGCGTGTTTATGTTGCTACCCTCATATGAATTCAGGGGATTTGAAACTACTTTTTCCCGTCAATAAATTTGTTCACAGAATGTTCAACTTAGTAGGAATGAAAAATATCACTTCTGACCTGCTCAATTCCTTGAACATTCAAATAAAACAGCCATCCTTTAAGTAGTAGTTAGGTAAAGCCCGTTTCAGGTTGTAATTATGTTTTCAAAAATCATTTTCGGGCTTGTGATTTTCGTCCTAGTTTCTGTCGGTTCATATTCCGTTTTTTAAACGCAATTTTTTTTCTGCTAGGGTTTTATTGGCTTATTTTCTAGAGACAGTGTTTTGTTCCAACTTGATTATTTTTTTGACCATAACTGAAAGTTCAGTAATTTGTAAAATAACTAAGTCTGATTTTAGGTAATTTTATGCTTTTTTCGTTTCTTTTTTGAATATTTAATCAGTTTCAGTTCATGTCATATGAGCTCAGTCAACTTATATTGCATAATTTTGAGGGTAATTATATTCACACAAGATTATGTGTTTCAAACTTTTAAAACTTTTTGAAATTTTTTTTACGTTGCCGCTCGGTAATTGAATTGATTCTTTTTAAAGCTGTTTATGACGTTCTTCCTAAACAACCACGAAGTTTTTGTAGCTGTATTCGTTCCAATTTTTCGGGAGTTATTTTTAAAATAATTTTTCAACTTAATTTTTCAGAAATTTTTTCTAGATTTTTTTCAGGTTCATTTTTCAGATTTTTTTCATTGTGTTCATTAAAAAATTGTAGTTATTTTCTTTAAAAACTCAACGAGTGTAGGACCCATGCTTGTGATGTCAAATCTCGATTTCAGATTAAAGCTCTTCGTAAAGTTTCTACTAGTGCAGGTAATTTTGTTCAGGAATTTATTGTCCTTTTTTTTGCAATTTTTATAACTTTTTTGACAATTTTTTTTCAGTTGTTGATTTGTTTTTTCATTTGCTGGTAGTCATAGTCATTCATTTTTGTATCGCACATGATTCGAAGCTCCGCTTCCCCTATGTGTGCTAGTTTTAATCCGCAGTTTTTTAACCAAGCTTCGGCGCTAAAAAAAAGTCGAGATCCTCGTAGTTTTTTTGTGAATTTTGCACGTACTCATTGAAAATCAATGAGTGAAGTTTTTTGTGTTAACTTATTATCGTAACCTATTTTCTCGTCTGCTAACATAGTTTTGAAAAATCGATTTTGCTTTTTTACCTATGCGATTTGAAAGGCTATTGCAACCGAGTACTAGACTTCCTCTACCCCCATAAACAACTGTGTTCACAATACTCATCTTCGGGTAGTACCTTGGTTCTTAATGAAGTCAATTTTTGTAGCGTCTCTGGCCTACTTAGCCTGCAAGTTATGAGTACAGAGGTCCTGGGTTCGAATCTGAGCAAGATATGTTGTTTTTCAAACGGGAGACTTTGTTTCAAATAAAATTGTCGGTCTATGATTTGTCCGCTTATGTTTAGATTTTTAGTAGGTTTTTTGCTAGGATTTTTTATTTGTCAAGAAGTCGCTGAAAGAAACTTGAAAAACTGATAACACTGATGTAAAACTGAATTTTTACGTCTTATTTCCTTATTATAGACCTGCTCACTTGCTTAATTCGCTAGACCAAAAATCAAATTTTTTAACCGGTTGTTCCAAATACTGCGCCCCTTCGGACAATTTTTGTGGTACTTAATTTTGCTTGGAAAAAAGAAAAACGCTAAAACACACACGAATACAAAGTTCCTTCCAACGTATAGTTTTTATAGTTATTATTTCTTATAGTTTTCAAGTCAAGTTCAAACGGACTCGTTTACGGCAATCGGGGGATTCAGGACTTTTTCTTACTCCGAGCAGAGCTGTTACACATAGACAATGGATAAAGAGTGTGTTATACAAGCAAAACTTTCAAAAAGTTTACAAGCGCTCCCCCCTCAAAATTAGTATAGATTGGGGCAGACAAATTTTAAGGTCAGTCAGCCAAAAATGGATCCCTTTAGGGCGGCAGGGGGTCGAATCCCTGGAGAGGGGGGGGGGGGGGGGGGGCGTTTGACCGCCTTCTAAATCCGCCCCTGGATATTAAATTCCAGGATGTTTTTAAGGCTATAAGTATTCGCTTATCAAAATTAAAATTTGACGATGTGCAGTATTTTGACCACGCTGGCTGGAGCACGTTTTTTTTGGTTTTGCAATTTGATGATTTTTATGACCGAATCATTTTAACGGCCCTCTATAGTTTATACCATGATGCTATTTTAGCCATCTATTTTTTTGTTATGCAAGCTAAAATTTGCTGGTCAACCCTTCTGTGATACTTGCTTCTTCCACAACTTTCGGAAACCCTTGAAAAATTTTAGCGACAGAAATGGCTCTACTAGTTTTATTATATCACATTTAATGGTCGGTTTCCGTCTATTAATTTATCAGCTTTCATGTCGAGAAGTTGTGTGATCAATGGGTATGCTGTACCGCATGACTGTGACAACTGCGTCTTGAATGTCACCGAGACGTCTCGAATTTTGATGTTAGAAAGGCCGATTGTAAATACCAGCTGTATATGTTGTTAAAATGTTAAAAATATTTAACTTCATGCCAAAATTGAGAGGGTTTTAATTGTTGTAGATTGCTTATACCATTCACAGCAGGCGGTAAATCATCACGCATGATTTGCTGCGCCAGTTCTCATTAGTAAAGCAGAATAGAAAAAGAGTACTTTCAGTCTCAAAGTTCTGCATTGAACGAAGTAAAGTTGACGACTTTCGATCCGTGAAAAAATGAACGTGCCTCGCGAAAAGCACCATTAAATCAAGCACCGTGTAAAATTTGGTGTAATAACAATCTTATCGCTTTTTCATACATGAACCATCTTCAAAAAGACGAGTTTTCAGCTAACAAATGCTTTTGGTTTCTTTAATACAGTAAAGCTCGGGCCTTTTGCTTTTAGCTACTGTGTGGTTATAGCAACTAGCCATTTGTAATAACTAGCCGGTTTAAAAATACAAATATAACTTTTGAACCTGCTGCTGAGAGCACGTGTTTTAATATTACATGTGGTTTTGGTGCTTTTTGTTTTTTTATCATGAAAAACATCTAAGTTTTAAACAAGAATGCTTCAATTTTGTTTGCGAATCTTTTTGCATGGTATACCAACTATTTTTATACATTGATTTGAACACTGGCAGATCTTCTGTGTTTTCTATTGAGAGTATTTTAAATACTTGTCTTCGAAGCGTGCGGTTACCATCCAAATAGGGGTAGTTTGAGCTTACTCGTGGAGTTTTTGCTGAATTAAAAAAGGTAAGCAAATTATCTTGAGGATTTCTCCCACTGGATTTTCCAAAGCAATTAAGGAAAAAACGTGACCTAGTTTTACCCTGTATTGAATGATTTTTTTTACTGTTCTAGTTTTTCGCAGTATAAGCTTGGCTGAGAAGCTTATACCTCTAGCATTTTTGAAGCTAGTTTTTTAGTGGGTACGTAATTGTGCCTTGAACTTTTCAGTATTGAAAAACATTGGCATACAAGCTTTGGCTTCCTGAGAACCTTGATATCAAATTTGTTTTTCCGTTAACAGGTTTTCTATCCTAACTATTCTGTTTTTGACTTATCTAAATTATTTTTGCATTGTCTTTTTGATTCGTTTTTCATCATGGAAATCTGATAGCGGTTACAATAAAAAGATGAATTGAAATTTGTCTTTTTTTTAGAATTTGTTTTTCTCCCCAAAAACTGTTTTGGTCGTTTTTTTTTCAATTTTAAGCTCGTCTCGAAAGAATATTTCAATCCTCCCTACCAGAAAACACGTCTCAATTTTAAGCACGTCTCGAAAGAATATTTCAATCCTCCCTACCAGAATTTAGCGATTATTTTCGTTTTGCTTTGCTTTGATTACTTTTGTCAGAACATTCTACACTACCTGGACATAATCGAGTTCTCTTGTTGTTGTCTGGCATCTTAGTGGAGCCGATTCCAGCAATTGACAGATGTCATTTCTGATGCTTTGATTGACTTTTCCTTGTTCAAATTATATTCAGCTACTAATCTGCTGTTGTGTAATTTTAAAAGCAGGAAGTTTTTAGATTTGAGTTGCTGGTAAGCAAATGATGATACTTGACCTTTTGTTTCGAAACTGAATTTTTTATCTAAAATTTGGAAAAGAGTCAGGTGAATATTTTAGCCATCAATTGCAATCCAATCGATTGGACTTGTTTTTGATGCATTTGCCGATTAAGTTGACATTTCTGATCAATACTTAATACCAGTCTTTTGCACAACGTTTGTTTTCACCATCTTAGAGGCTTTCAATTTTCATTAACTGTGGTTTTAGTGGCGTCTCATTGTCTGATTGCCGCAAAAAAGTCATATATATTTAATTGGAGCAAATAATTCTTTTTACTTTTTCTATTTTTGACCAGAAATTTTGGTGAACTTATACATTTGAATCAATTTTAAATAGAAGGAGTACCTTTTTGGCTTTGCTCTTGTATATAGCGACCAAAATTGGTACTAATCTTTGTTTGGCTTTGCTAATTTTGTAACCATTCGCTCAAAATTTGCTGATTACCTGTGTACTTATCGATCTTTTTGTGTTTTTTTGAATTGGGAAAGCCGGAGCTTTTGATTAGATGTTTTGTATTGTAGCTGTTATCAAATATTTATCCATAAATATCCAATTGAATTATTGGTTTATTCTCGTACAACTAAGGAATAAATTTTCTCCTTGCAGAAATTTTTCAATGTTGCTTGCAGTGTTGCTGGCAGTCTGTTTAAAAAGCGTTTTCCACCTTTTCCTCAGCTTAAGTTTTGCTGATATAAAACATATTACGCTGGTTAGATCTCATCATTCCGTCTGCTCTCTCCAAGTTACTATATGACTCATTTTTTACACGATCTTCTTCGCTGTTTGCGGTAGAAATTGATTTCAAAATGACCGTTATGAAAATTGCGGTTTGAACTGACTTTCGATAGATGTTTTGCATCTTACCTGCTATTTATATTATTTTTTTTCGAGTGTTCATAAAATAAAATTTTTTTATTTAATCGTTTTTTTCAACAGTATAAATCTTTTATTGATTTCAAAGACCAATTACGTTTATTTTTCTCGTTTTTGCTTTCACCTATTGCGGCAAATGGGAAGGATGAGGCGAGAATTAGACGACAACGTTTGATTTCTCATTTCTTGCCACATTTAAATAACCTTTGAGTGTAAGCTTTTTTCAAATGATTTTTTACCTACAGTTTTGTTTCAGATAGTTTATAGAGATCATTGGAAGGCTTAAGAGTGTCTCCCTTCCCTAGCCCAATTCAATCTATCACACCAGGAAACCAACCCAAAAACAGTCCTTAGAAGCAAAACAAAACAAGCCAAGATCCAACCCATTTGGACATCTTGCCGAAAAACCTCATTCACGATTCATCAATCTCATCACTCATTGGGTAATTCATCATCCTATCAGAACTGTCGAAGCAGAGTTGAACTGGATCTCAATTGGAATAGTACATATCTATTTGCACATCATACGCATCAAACTTAACCATCATCATCATATCGAATCTTGAGGAGCTGCAGGGTATAGAGAGTATCAAACATGGACTATGATTCGGAATCAGGAGGGGGTCTGGGTGCGAGTAGCATGCAGGGCCTGATGATGCAGAACACGGAGCTTAGGCGGAAGCTGGAGGAGCAGAATGACAGTTACAAGAGTAAACTAGCCGCTTACCAGGAGGGTCAGAGCAAACAAACGGAGATCGTGAAGAAACTGCAACAGAAGGTGAACATTCATTCCTTTTGATCTTGCAGTATTTTCAGTTTTTTTTTTCTGTGCATAATGAGAGAAAAAATATATGGCGCTGTTTTCAGAAAAAAAAATTGTCTAAGCTGATGAAGGCATTTGATCACCAAACTAGCGCAAAGGTGGCGTTTTAAAATTCTTTTCTTAATTACTGCATGTACTTCCCAATATGAACAATCCCAAAATAAATAAGGCCATATTCGCCATTCGTAGTAAAATGGGCAAATTGGACAACAGTGTAAAATGACTAGAAAAACAAAACAAATTATTTAAAAAAAAGTTCATTTTTTCAATTTTTTTTTTGCGGAAAACTTGAGTAAAACTAAATTTTCACGGCTTAAGTTAAGCATAAATAGCATAAAATGTTTTGATATTGTAAGCATGCTCTATTTTTCCTCGAATTTAAGACTAAAAGTCAAAAATTTCAAACCTCTTTCTCTATCTGACGCAACTTTTTGAAAAATGTCGATTGTATCACACTTGAAAGGGCTTTAATATTATATATCACTCGGCCCATTGATAATTATGTGTGGTATCTGATTTTGCGTGGAAAAAAATTCAAACACATTCGAATACAAAGTTCCTCTCCATTTCCAACAATAATTAGGCTCGGCTCAAGTATAAACCGACTACTTTTGAAAGATTTTTTTTTCTCATTCTAGTATCCTTCATTCGACTCTTACGGTTTGTTTGCATTTAATTTAACTCCACCCTTTAATTTGTTTCTTTTTTTTTCAGTTGCTGCAATACAAGAAGAAATGTGGGGAATTAGAGACGATGTTGAACGAGCGAGCGAGGGAGAGTGACCAGACTAGGGTGGAGTTGCAGTCGGTGCAGGACCAGCTGTCGACCAGAGTTGAGGACGCGGAGAACAAGTTGAGAAGGGCCGAACATGACCACAACTTAGATCTGGAGAGTGCGCTCATTAAACTCGAGGAGGAGCAGCAGAGGTGTGTGTGACTTCTATTCTTGTTCAATCAACTCTCCAAATAGCCAAATAAATCTAAAACGTTTTTTTTTCGCTCTGTTTTTGCCGCCTCAAAAAATCTCGAGAATAAATAAACCAGCCGAAGTATACACCAACCGAAAATGCGCGGAGTATATTAGCTAGCCGAACCGAAAAGTTACTTCATGTGAATGAATTTGTATAACTTTCGTAACTGTTACATTATTTTCGGCTGGTTAATACTTCGGCTTGTTTATATGCCACCAAAATTCTCATATGAGGCCAAGTGTGGTATCATATTAATACTTCAAATCGCAGTGGATTTATCAAAGGCCGTGGACCATTTCTAAGGATAGTCGTTTTTTATTTCACCACATTCCAGACAGATTATATTAAAGACTTTTTAACCGTGATTTGATTCCTAAAAGATTTCAACATCTAGGTTTTAAGGCACATTAACAAGGTGCAACTCAATTGCTCAAGTTTTCAATTCAACTTATCATCATTTGACAAAATTGATTCAGTATCACGCCGCCATCTGATCTTTTTTGATAAATAGTTTTAAAGCGTAGCTGTACCTCTGAGGCTTGAATTCTGTTATCTTTCTACCGTCTTAATCGCCTCTTCTTTGTCAATAATTTTAATGGCGCCTTGCATTTTGCTGTGTCGCATTAGTTCTGCGTGTATTTATTAAACATCTGTAACTTCTATTTTTCAGTATCCTTGGATGACTCAAATATAATATGCTATTCAATTAATAATTAATCAAAGCAACTCAAAATATGATTTTATATAGAAAAGCAGCAGTGTACGAAATTGATCCATAATTTTTTCGCAACGTACGCACAGCTGGGGAAATATTTTTTTTTTGAGGAAATAGGTGTATTTTTAAAATGGTTTCTTTTCTGCTGCCATAAATTGAATCGAACAGTTGCAATATAGAGCAATTTTGACCGTTCAATTGTTTTATCATTTTGCCATAGGCGTGTCGGTTTTGAAAAAAAGGAAGTTTTTATTCCCAGGTCACAAATAAATTGATAGACAATAAAAAAATCATTGATCTACAAAATCGATCAAACAACTTGCTTAGCTATTTTGAAAAGCTCATTAACATCAAAGAGAATTGTTTAAATTTCCACTACCCCTTCAAATTGAAAAATCAGCTTTTTTGGACGTTTTTCTGTAGATAATTGAAAGGTTGTAGGCGGAGGTGTAATGTAATTTAAATCAACCTCCCATGTCTATTGTTGCTTAATTTTTGGGCTGTGGCTCTAGATGAAAGTGGTGGGAAGTTTATTTTTCTTGCTACCTATTCAATAATATCCGATATTTAGCGACTTGAGATCTTTTGTCTTTTGAACACCTACTTTTCCTATTTAGTCCTTTCTGTTCTTTTTGTGAACCTTATTTGGCTCCTCTGTGTGTAAGTTTGTGATGTGGTTTTTTGGGCGTTGTAGGTCTCTGAGTCTGAACCAGATGAACACTCTGCTGTCTGACCAGCTGAAGGAGGCGACCACAGTGAATGGACAGCTGCAGAGGGACATTGAGAAGATGAGCAGTGAGTGGCAGAGACAGAAGGCCGAACTGGAGAACATGGAGTCCGAGTGGAGGGACGAGGAGAGGGTCAGTAGTCATGCTTCACCACACATTACTTAAACCAACACCTTATATTATTATTATTACGTCACCAATGCCGAAATACGTCACCTTGTTACGTAATGCGGAAATGGACCAAAGTGGTCATTAATGGTCAAATGGAGCTCAATTAGACGGTAGAACAAGAACTAAATGAAGTTGTTCGGTCATATAATTCAGGCCTAACTTGAAGATCACCAACTGTAAAGCGATGCTTCGGAGGATATAAAATTGCAGGTTGAAAGAGTGACATGTGTTGTTTAGGCGTTCAACGAGTACTTCTCCAATGAGCATGCCCGTCTGCTGACTCTGTGGCGAGCAGTGGTCGCATTCAGGAGGTCATTCTCGGAACTGAAGAGCTCCACCGAAAAGTAAGCCGATGTGCACAACTACTAAGCAAAATATCGAAGTTCTAAATCGGTTATAATTCATTTCGACTTCAATTCACAAACAATAAATATGAAAGCGGCATTGAAAGCAGCCGGATTGTTGAAAGTAATGCTCGAATTGCTCGAGCTGTTGTTTGGATTGCTAAGAAAAAGTTATGAATATCCGAATTACGTCAGAAATGTTCTCAAAGCAAAGCTTGCGGCCTATTGGAAAAAAAATGGTGCAATTATACAGATTGTCAAAGAAATTTTTCTAGAATATAACAGGATTCTCAATAAACTTCTTTCAGACTGAACTTATTTCTCAGTTTGTTGCACTGTTCTTAAGTCTTGGTACTTTTCCAGGGACATGACGGCAGTGCGTGGTGAGATCTCGAAGGCAGCTCGCAATGTGCAATCGGCGTGCATGAACCTGACCTCTAATCTGAAGCACGAAGAGAGCAACATGGCGATGGAGATGGAGAGACTGGGGAGGGACAAGCAGGTACTGGAGGACCAGTTGAGGGAGAAGGCGAGACAGCAGCAGGAGTTGAGCAGTCAGTGGGACCTGGAGAGGAACCACCTCAACCACAAGTACGCACACCCCACCCCACCCCACAAGGCCACACATTTTAGAACTAATTGGTTGATAAAGTATTAATAATAAATTGTTTTCAGGCAATTCCATTGTGGTTAGTTGATTAGGAAAAATAGTAGTAATTAATTGAATGGCAAACTTTCGTAGCCCTAGAAAAAACATAAACAAAAAATGACATGCGGGTATTAAAATAGAGGTAAAACATTTGTTCTCTTCGGAAAGTCAAACAGATCTAATGTTGGTCTTTTCTTTTGCGAATAAATGGACTTCATTTTTTTAAAACGAATTATAATGTTAGTTACCGCAATCTGCGTTTATCCTGGGTATGAGGTAATCTACGTTCAGAAGAGCTGTGAATGTATATTGTTAATAACATCGAAGTTTTATTGAACCTCTGAGATCTTAAAGATTGTCGGAACCCATTTTATGGCCGGAAACGTTAGTACTACCAACTTAGATACTTAACTTATAATTGAAATATAAATTTAGAATGAACGAAGTCGGATCTGCAGCTGAGAGTCTGAAGGAGGAGCTGAACCAGAAGAACGTACAGCTCAAGAAATACATCGACACCTATGTGAGTACTAAATACACCTACCTATTGTTCAGGCTGTCTGTCTATTATATTGGACATATTTTTCCTAGTTGCTACAAATCCTGATGAGATTTTGGAATAAATGCAAAAAGCGTCTTTTCAGCCTAGTTCATTGGAAATTAACAAAAAGAAACGAAAAATGTGTAGCGAAAATTCCGTCAGTCGAAGAGCTGAATTTTAATTATATTTCTGTTCGTTTTATAACCTTCTCTGAAACATCAGTCAGTAAGTTACCATTAAAATCCAGTGCTGTCCATGATTCCATACTTAATTGTGTTTTGGTTGTAGGGCGATGACTCTCCTAAGATGATGGACATGAAAAGACAGAATGAGGTGCTGAACCAGAGCATGAGGGACATCGCACAGATTGTGATCAACGATGCTAACACCACCAAGTAAGCAGTGATTTGAATTATTTTTTAGAATTCACGTTTCAAATCATCCCGGTCTTCAGAACAGAAGCGTCGGACCTCTTAGACAATTTTTTGAATCGCGAAAGGGGGAACGTTTTTGACAGGTCCCACGTGTTGTGTTGTAGGTAGCATAACGCTTGTATAACTATCTGATGCCAATGAGATCATGATTTTAAAGTTTTTTTTGAATACAATTCTATGAGTTTTCAATTGAAAATATAAATTGTTTCATTAATTTTTCGGCGCAAGGATGCATAAATTATTTGTCTTTGAATAGTTCCCTGTTCGGCGACGAGTTCGACACTGCGGATGAGCTGCCGAAGCTGAGAGCGAGACTAGACAGAAGTGTGTCTCCTGCCAGAGGACGATCCGGAAGATCCCACTCGCCCGCCCTCTCAGACTCCACCTTGAATGCTGTCCAGGTGGTGCTGAGCAAACGACAGATGCAACTGCAGGTACTTATTGATAGGAAATTTAAACATGAATGAAATTCGATGGTTGCTCTGCCGTCGAAGAAAATGTTCAGAAGCTAAAATTTATTAAATTTTCTTGAACTAAATTGAAACTAACGAATATTTTCTGTCAAGATCAAGAAACTGATGCATGGCTTAGATATGCGAACTAGTTGAACTCGTTGTGTAGTCTCGAATATAGATATTATTTTTAAAAAATCACACTCTTTTTGTAAATATCAAATATTGGACTGTGTTGCAGGAGGCCAGATCTAAACTGACGAACAGTGAGGACAAATTTGTGACAATGAAGAGACAGTTTGAGGAGGAATACAATCAGAGACTGCAGTTAGAGAGGCAGGTGAGTAAGTTCAAGGATGACTTAGATGAGATGAGGAAGAAGTTGGAGGAGACCTCGAGGGACAGAGACAGGAAGGGCAAGCAGTTGGACATTGTCTCCAGCGAGAAGGGACAACTCGAGAGATTCAGGTCAGTTCCGATTTTTGTCCGAGTTTTTGAGGGTGTCTGTTATTATTTTATTGTAGTTATAATTTGAGTTTGAATAATAGCGGTAAAAACTGGAATCACTGATATGAAAATTGCACTCCTTGCGATGAAAGTTGGAGGGAAGCCTGGTGAAGTAAACTAGCAATTGGGATTTTTTCAGTTCGTGAAAACTTTTAGTTCAGCTCGTTTTGCGGTAGTCAGACTATTCATCGTTCGGTTTTGGGAGCGATCGTTAAAAAAGGCATTGCGTTTTTTCCCACAATGTATTCAAAGATACTTTTGTGACCATCGATTTGCAGTTTTCACTTGTTAGATTAGATGTCTCTGATAAAGTTATTCACTGACATCGCGATCATCTATTGAGGTGTTTGTTTACTGTAGGGATGAGTTGGTGAAGAGCAGAGAAGAGTTGATGGGTGAGAAGGAGAAGTTGACGGATAGTGTGAACCAGCTGCAGATGAAGAGGGATGCTCTGGAGGAGAGTGTGGCAGACATGGAGATGGAGACCCAGAGGAAGGCCAAGGAGATCACCAGATGGTAAGACATTACATATCATTATAGTCACGTTCATTTAAGATAGCTCATTACCAATTAAAAGAAATTTTTCAGTACGAGTTAGAGTTTATTAGCCAAGAGTTAGCCTGATAGTAGGAGGCTCCCCGTCTGTGTAAATATGTTGTTTGAAGCAATGTAAAAAAATAATGGTGGAAGGAAAAGTAACATGTATCGAATGATGTTTTCTTAAAATCATTGCAATACTTCAATGTGAATTTGGTTAGTGGTCTAAACTCATTATTGAAGTTTTTTTTTCTTTATCGAAATACAGTACCAAGACAGAGGAATATGTGGTTTCGGCATCCACGGCCATTTGAGTTTCTTGCTTCAGACTAATAAGTTATGATACGTTTCAGCACTGAACACATCCGCAACCAAGACGGCCAGATGCAACACCTAAGAGAGGAGCTCACATTCGTCACTGAGGAGATGAAGAAGCACGTGTTGGAGAAGGAAGTGCTCCAGCAGGAGAAGGCAGAGTTGAACGAGACTCTCTCCCGGACTGAACTGGCCAAAGCAGAAGGGGAGTTGAGCTACAACAAGTTGAAGAAGGAGGAGGCTGCACTGAGGGATGCTCTGCTGAAGATGCAAGTGTTGAATGAGGGATTGGGACAGGACAAGATTGAACTGAACAAGGTAACATGCCCGAGTAATTTAGCACAAGCTAAGCAATACTTGTATATGGGAATGATTTTTTTACAGAGATGATTTGATGGAACGAAAAAGTTGTTGACGAATTGGGTATTGCCGAATTGATAGTATGATATACCTTCAAACTATATTATTGTCAATTTCTAATAAGCTTGGTGGACCCGCAAATTTTAACGATTGCATCGATCTTGTTTTGTACCCAGAAAAAACTCATAACGCTTGCCGCTTGTAAGATTCGAGCTTTTAAAATAAAAACAGATGTTTTTATGGTTCATGTTCCAAGGATTGAATTTGATATTTCTTCTTAGGTGATCATGGCCCTAGAGGCAGACAAGACCTCTCTCACAATGGAAAAGGGAGAACTAGAATTTGAGAAGACAGCAATTAGGGATGAGTTGATGAGGACAGAGCAGGAGAAGAATGAGGTTGAGAATGAGAAGAGCAGTGCGGAACAGCAGCTGGCCATGAGTGAGAACAGCTGTGAGAAGCTGGAGACAGAACTGGCTCAGACCAGAAGGGAGAAGAGCGATCTGTTTGAACAGCTCCAGAATGTGAGTCACCTTAATGATTTGTGGAGCTCATTCCTTTTGTCTGTCATGACATGTGTAAAGACATGAAATTTTGGACATGTGTAAAGAATCGACTTGAGTTTAAAAAAATTGAAAAAATATAACGACACAATAATTTTGATGATTATCAGTAAAAAATCAGTGCCACTAACTACAAAAAAAATCATATAAAATTGTGTGTTTGACTAAAACCTTTTTTTCTCGCCTTGTCGTCCTGGGTTGACTCAGTTTTTGCACAATGGAGTAAACGAACTATCAGTGGAATTTTTCTTTCAAAAAGAAAAGTTTCATGCTGTATTTCTAAAAATTACTGTTCAATGTGTTATTTTTTGTCTAGGTGTCCCGCAGCAAGGCAGCCCTGTCGGAAGAACTGATGCATGCCAAACACGAACTGCAAAAGAGCAGCCAATCCCTGTCCATCCTGGCCAAAGAGAAAGAAGAACTGACGAGAGAAAAGGCTAATATAGTGACGTCACTCACAGCCAGCGAGCGAGAAGTGAGACAACAGAACGAGGTGATCGCAGCCTACAAGAGTGACAAGGATGCACTTGAGAGGAGTCTGTGGGAGTTGAATCAGGCCAATAATAAATTGGAGAATACCAAGAGTAGTCTGGAGTCAGAGAAGGCTGATCTGCAGCAGAAGGTGAGGAAACAGTTTCTATCAACCAAAAACGTACACAGACACAGTGAAAGAGTGATTAAATGGCTCCAAATTTTCCAAATATTGATTTGATTTTAATTTAGTTTCACAAAAGCAAAACAAAATCCAACCTGAAACATCTGACCAAAATCAATTCAATTCGAAAATTTGCAAAATGCCGTTTTGTTTTTTTTTCTCACGCACTAATGTTTTCTTTTTTTTTCGTGTGAAAGTACGGTTTTATTGACACTTTGAGTGAATGTATGACGAAAGCAAGTGCAAATTTTTTGTGAAGGTAAATACGAACTCTCGTGTATTTTGTTTTGGTTCAAGTTTTCTATTTTCTGCAACTGCGTAGCATTGGCCACGAAACTGAAATTTGATTAAACCAATTCACCTTTTCACTCAATCTACAGGCAGTTTGAAGTTGTTTTGAATTGTTTTTGCTTATCAGTATACAGATGTTTGTTACGATGCATAATGGCTCAAAAAATTTGATTCTGCTATAACACATCTAAATTTCGTCTTTCTAATCAGTTGTCGGTAAATTGAGATGATGAATATTCTGCTCATAACCTGAACTATGGTACTTTTATAGCAGGCATTCATGTCGACAATAATACGAAGCAAAGCCCAGGTGCCAGTTATTTAGGTCGTGAATAGATCTTTGCAAATTGTATCTGGATTTGCATTTGAGCATCTGAGGGAGCAGGAACAATTGCATTGACTTGTGTTAGGTGGAGAACCTACAGGCGGACCTGGTGAGAGTGCAGCGGGAGATGGAGATTGAGTTGAGTAGGCGGGAGAGGGAGAAGGAGCAGTTGAGTGTCTACATGCAGCAGATGGAGAAGGACCACAAAGTGGCACTCAAGAACGAACAGGAACAGCACCACGAGGATGTCGACAGACTAGTGCGCGAAAAGGTAACAACACTTCTGCCACAAATAAAGCAATTAACCTTTTAAAAAAGTAATGATGTAAAAGATTCGTCTGGGAAAAAAATGCTGGTATCAATTCAATTCAGGTTTGTCTGCGAAAAACTAAACTGCACAGTTTTGTTACATGCCGATAATAATGGACGTCTTTCTTTATCTAACCATTTTTTCTTTTTGAAGATGTTATTACCGGGTCAGATTTTACTGTTTTTTTATCGACCGGGTCAGCTTTGGTTGATTGGTATGGTTGGGCTATGATTGATTTTTGAGAAAGAAGGCTGGGGGAAAGTTGGAATGCTTTAATCAGAGGACTTGACAATGGTTTTGAAGAGTTTGTTTCATTTAGACAAGAAAAGGTATGGTACTCATCTCACTAAAGCAACTGTCATGTCGCTTTCAGTTTCTATTGCGATTGGTTGTCGTCATAATTTGATTCTTCTAAAAGTACCTGATAAGCAGCCATTCGAACCATCAATATCAAAAGAAGCAAAATCCTTCAACTAGGCATCATCAGTTTAGTTGGTCATGATACTTTAAAAACCATAGAAAAAATAAAAAGCTGTCTCATCTCAAATTTTAGTTCTCATCTGACTCTTAGATCATAAAACGCGACGTACGCCTATTAACAATGGCAAAATGGCGGTTCCTATATCGGCGATTCAATAAACCTGCCTGGAGCTTCATTCTTTCTTGGACCTTTGTATCAATTGGCGAAAACTTTTTGCAACCGCGAGTACTGAGTTTTTAAAAAGCTGATAACATGAGATCATCGCAATTATTGAATGTTTCAAATGTGATGCTCAAGGTTCTTGTTAATTTGAGCCTTAGTCTAAGGCAGACTGTTGTTGGTGTCCAAGGTCGACTGTGATGGCATTTTTTATTGCTTCTAGGACTCGCAGCGGAAGTTGTACGAGCAGGAGCGTGAACAGCTGCTGCACAAGGCCAAGAGTGAGATGGAGGAGAGTGAACAGAAGCACGAGAAGACAGTTGGTCAGCTTAAGGAGGAGATGGCCGCCGTGCACAAGGACAGGGACGAGAGTCTCCTCATGGCCGAGAACGACAAACAACAGGTAATGAGTGACATCAATGCGAAGGAAAGAATGAATATTCGTTTCGACTCCATATGTATATATAAAAGAAAAAAGATTAAAACTAATGCGCGAAAAATGTCTCAGGATCAAATTGAGTTCTGCCTCAATTTTTATAATTAAATTTTAGACATCTGAAGCATAGGTTATAGCTTTGTCGTAAGTTTCGGATGATCTGAGAAAATCTAACTCACCGTTGGCTAACAAAAATATTTTGATTCACACTTTTTCGAAAACCTAATTTCCGGTGCTCAAAAATAGTTGCCATTTAGATGCCATTGTTAAAAGTCGATGTAGGTAGTGATGATTTTTTGTTTCATGTTTTTTTCTTGTTCAGGCTCAAATTTTCTTTGACTTTTTTTTTAGTTCAGTTAATTTCTTTTGTTAAAAGGAAGGTAACTGCACTATCGCGCAGCAAAAGTGTAAAGTTCACGAAAAACGTGAAAGACTTATTTCGAAAATGGATTTAAATTTTCAGATTTTCCAGCGAAATACAAAAAGGGTTAATTTTATCAAAATAGCGTTGTCAATCATAAATTGTTCTCGAAACTCAAAGAGCTCTAATGCATTCTATTTTTTTTTCTTCGAATTTCAAAATCAAGTCAGTTTTTTCTGTTTACCGGCGTATATTGACTCTTTTGTTGACTATGTTTTTAGGTATATAATAATAAACAACCTCAAATTGTGTTATTTTTGATATACATTGTCTCGAAGATAATTTGGTTTTTATGTTTTGCAGGCGCTTCACTTGGCGGAAGCAGAGAGAGTGCGAATCACAGACAGACTGAGCAAGGCGAATGCAGCCAATGAGCAGCTGAAGACTGACCTGGACGGACTCAAAGCACAGCTGTATGACACCATGGAAAAGGCACAGCAGACGGAGCTGCAGAAGGACGAACAGATCAAGGACCTTGAGAATGTTCTAGAAGACTCCAAGTCAGTATATTAGTACATGAAATGTCGCCAAAATTAAGATGAAAAACTAGCGTTGAATTGAAAACTCACTTTGCTTAAAGAATTCTCTTCCAATCGGGCAAGACCCTAAAATTGGCCACGTTTCAACTGCGAGTTATGAATGTAATTGATTGTCATATAAAAAGGAAATTTTGGTATAATTTGAATGCTACTACCTGTGAAGTTTTTGTGGAATCTTTTTGAGTGCTATGTGAATATATAACACTAGCGGAACGCAGTGTTTTACATGAATTTACCAGACTATTTGTGTTCCTGATACTTGAGCTCCCGACCAAAATGCAAAAATAGTTGAAGATATTTGGTCTCGGATACACAAAAAAATTTTGCCTAGGACACAAATGATACACAAATACATATTCACTATTCGAAAAAGATTTTCATTGTGAAAAGTGTTGAGCATGCGTGTGTTTATCCAGAGACATGAGTGCGAATAGTGAGAAGCAACTGAAACAGCAGATTGCGGTGCTTGAGGGAGACAAGGAGGAGCTGGGCCAGGAGATCCATGAGCTGAAGAGTCACTTGGCAGCCGCCGAGGAGCAGAAAGAGCAGCAGAGGAGGGAGTTGGGAGATGCACACAGAATCATCAAGGAGGGTCAGTTATTGTTCACTTATTGGCAATCATTTTTTCCATCTTCCGGAAGAAAAACTAACGTTCACAAATAAATAATCTACACGATGCCAAAAACTGCAATTCTTTAGTTTCTCATTCACGTAACGCATCTGGACCACCGGGAATTCGCGATTTTCTACGACATTTAGATTTGAAATGCTTCACAAAATTTCTCTAATGATTTGAAAGGAAGTTGAAGATAGTTGTGTTTGGCGAATGTTTCATCGAGTCTAATTGTTGTTATTGATTAATGCAGGTGAGGATGCACGTGACCTGGTGAGGAAAGAGAACTTGGAGCTGAAGAGGGGACTGAGTAGTGAGCAGAGTGAGAAGGAGGCCATCAACCAGGCCAACGAGCAGCTCAGAAATAGTATCAAGAAGATAGAACAGGAGAAGACCAATCTGTTCCGAAATGTGGAGGAGAGGAACCAGCGCATCGCCAGTGAGTCACCTCACTCTTTTGGATATTTTTCGATGTAGATAGTGGCATACTAATGAGTTTACTCCTCTTTACCCTTGTTTGGTAAAATATGCACAAACAGATTTAGGGGGGGGGGGGGAGCGGACGCTTCTTCTCTCAGGGATTCGACCAGCTGCCGACCCAAAGGATCCCCCTTTTTACTACTTCTGAGATATCCATTTTTGGCTGATTTTTTGGTCGAACTCAATTTTTTGGTCGACATTTTCCAAAACGTGCATAAAAACGCCCTTTTTGGCCTGTTTTTTTTCCACAAATTAGGCTCTTTATAGCGATTTGAGAGAGCTCAGAAAATCAATTTGGTTGACCTAAAATAAACGATCGACAAAATTCTCAAAACTTTTTTTGAAAATCCGCTTCCCCCTCGAGAAATTCCTAGATCTGCGCCTGAAAATATCAATGCAAACAAAAACACTAGAAAATGAATGGTTATTTAGGATGCATATGACTTGTGCAAGGGGAGATGGGAATTTTTGCAAATGGTTTCTACGCAAAAAAAATCCTTTCTAGTTCTAGATACTGAGATTGCTGCAATTTTATTTTTTATTTCTGCCCAATTTTCATTCGAACGTTGTCGAATTAGTTTTGCACGCCATATCAAAACGTCATTTTAAACTTTTTTCAGTGCTGGAGCAGACGAAGAACGAGATAGTGCGTGAGGCGAATGACCAGAGAAACCAGCTGAGAGAAGTGGACAAACAGAGGGTGGAGGCGAGAAGAGACGCACAGGAATGCAGGAGGAAGATCAAGTCGTGTGAGGGGGAGATAGCCCAGAAGAGTCAGGAGATATCAGAGCTGCACGCCAATGTTGACAGACTGGAGAACAAGATTGAAGATAACAAGAATGAGATACACGCTCTCAAGACAAAGGTCAGTTTATTTTAAAGCATCAATGAACAAAGTGAAGACACTTAATTTGGTCGTGTTTTTTCATTTTTTTTTTTCAGGAAAACTGTTTCAAGCTCAATATTATTGTTCCGCGGCCACTGATAGTGGGGAAGAACTTTGTCTTTGAGTTAATTCAGTTTTTTTTTTACTTTTTTCCCTTGCAAAATTAAAAACCAAGAAAATATCGAAAGGGGTCGAGTGATGTCATATTAAATCTCTGTAAATTGTGATTCGAACATATAAAAATTTCCAAAAAAAATATTCTGTGTCGAGAAAAACTGGCTCTGAAAAACTTAGTGTACCTAAAAGCTTAGTCTTAATCCAGTAAAAAATTTGATTTTTTAGCGGCTACTTTGAATTAAAAAGATTTCAAATATTCAAAAAATTTCTGCAAAATATAAAAAAGAAAATTTTTTGATGTTTTGCTTTTCTGGTGTTTATTCGAGGAAAACTGTTTACCAATTTGCCTACTTTAATATACCTATCGAAAATGCCTTAGTTCTAGGCTTTCTGTAACTTCCTCTCATCCCACCACTCACAATATAAACGACACTATATTGAAAAAAAAAACCCTAATTGTTTGGTCGGAGCATTCTGTGCTACTTGCACAGCAACCGGTCATCCTTGTTTTTTGTGCAGTGCGACGTTGATTTCTTTTTTGAAATCTAGTTGTTTTTGAGATCATATAAGCTCTATGCTTACAGATCAACGAAGCTTTCAGATCTGGGCATCCAAGCTTCGAGATCAACTCTTGAGTTTTTCTCTGAAGAATTCGTTTTTCTCTGGTGTTTTTAATGAAGAGTTTTATTTTGAAAATTTGATGTAAATGTGTTTATGATGAATGATCCTTCATTTGTTTTATAGCTAGTGGAGACAGATGCTGGGCGGGAGAGTGCCCTGAAAGAAGTGGCCTATCTGAATAGGAAGAGTCAGGAGCTAGAGGATGAGATGAACCTCAAAGAGAGAGACTTCAACGCCGCTCTTGAAGAAGTCACGTTTGCAGAGAAGAAGGCAGAAGAAAAAGCTAGGTGAGGTTCATGTCTCAACTGGTATAGTTTGGACAGAAAAAAAAACACCAAGACAGACTTAATTGGTTGACCAAAAGTCATTCTTGGTTTTACCGTTGAAAACCTAACAAATATTTTTTTTCTAGTAGAGACTCGATAGGATGCCAAACAATGGGAATTTGGCCAGAACAAATTACTCCTAGGTGTTGGGAATCATTCGAATATGTTTTTGGAATTTGAAAAGGTGGTTATGGGCGCAAACATTATTTATTTCATACTTATTTGCTGCATTTGAATGTTTTTGTTTCTCAGTTTGGTCAGCAAATTGTATTTTAATTTAGGAATTTATCGGCATAATTATTGGCTGTTTTAGACAATTAGAGACAGTACTGGCAGCTGCCAATGACGAAATAGGCCAAATGAAGATGCGGTCTCAAGGTGCAGATGGGCGAATCACAGCACTGGAGGGTCAACTGGCGAGGACCGAAGGCAACAAGCGGGAGGTGGAGTTCAAACTCAGTCAGCTCCACTCCACCCTCAGGAGGACTATTGGACTGAGAGTGGGCGGAAGGAGTGTGTCCCCATGTGGAAGGAGTCACAGCGCATCCAAAGGTTAGTTTTTCTTCTGTTAAAAAAGTATTAAGTTTTTATCAAGTCTTTTCTTAGGTTTCCCGAATTGTGTGCATCCTCGATATGCAATAGCAGCATATGGATGACAGCATAAGTATTTTTTATAGTTAGATTTTACTGCTCAACTAGCTGTTGGAAGAGGAACTTTGCTATGAACAGAGCAGAATTTATACGATATGATAAATTGGTTACGCATCGAAGGAACCCTATGTCATTTGCTATATCGCATAATCTTAGGCAAGCCATAATATCGATCTTTACGACTTTATACCAATTGTTGACATTGCAGGTCTTGCCTCGACTGGATCGCAGAGAAGCAACTCGCCAGTGCGTTCGTGGAGTCCGACCAGACTGGAGAGATATGTGGCAGAAGTGGACCCAGAGACAGTGCGGATAGCCATGGTGGACTTCATCCAGCAGCTGAAGGACACAGAGAGGGAGAGGGACGAGTGCCAGGTGGCCATCAAACAGTGCCAGAGACAGCTGCAGGATATGGAGGAGGACAGAAACCGACTGGACCACAGGTAAATCAATTCAATTTTTCTGGCGAATACATGAGTTGCATAGCTTTTTATCGCACACATCTCGAGGTAAAAATGATTCGGAAACATGCAACTGGGTCGTGGGATATTTATATACAGAGGCGAGCTTGCATGCTTTTACAAGTTCAGCATTGCTTGTGTGTAAAATTTTGTCACGCGGAAATCAGTTTTTCATGGTATGACTTTTGGTTTCTCCTAGGATGAATTATAATCGCGAATTTTTGCTATGTTCAGATCTGTAAAGTTGTGCTAATTACCCTTGCGATAAGCAAGGGTATTGCAACCGGGTACTAGACTTTTTCCCCGTAAACAAGTTTGTCCACAGGACTCATTAGGACGTCTGGAGTCATCGCTACCTTGTTTCTTAATGCATTTACACGTGCAAAGCAAAGTGTTATCGTACGAAATTTCTTTTTTCCAACCTAAGTCGCAAATTTTGTTGCGACTTGAGGCAACAATATTTGTGTCATGCATCGAATTGGCATGACAGCTTTTTGTTGCACCTTTACAGCTTATTGATAACATGTGTTTTGACATTCGAATAGTTAAAGTTTACACAGTCGATGCATTTGAACAAGTGAACCGAAAAAAGCTATTTGTTTCAAACCATATAACAATAATAAAATCTCGATTTCAGTAATTTTCTAACTCAATATCTCTCGCAATTTTTGAAATGCATAATATACACATAATATGGCTTTATGATTTGCAATTTATTACATGCAAAATTGTATCTTTTTTGTATTTAGTGCTACTTTTGCTGTATGCAATTGGGAATTTATTAGCATATGTAGCTTTGGGGATGTTAAGTATTCGTGGCTGAATGATTTTTGCATGAGACTCAAATTTGCTAGGTCGTAGATTTTTGCTAATTCGAGTTTTTGCAAATTCGAGGCTTATTTCTACTTTTTTTATCTCACTTGATAGAGCTATTTTTTGGCCGTGTTCTCACAAACGTTTGCGCAGTCTTCCCGAACAACTTAGCCTGGAGGTAACGAATATGCCTGGGACGGCAAAGGTCCTGAGTTCGAATCTGACCAGGACCTGTTTTTTTTTTCGAACGGGAAATATTCTGTATCAAATAAAATTGTCGGATAATTATTTGTCTGCTTATCTGTTGTCCGCTTAGTGGTCACATCTTGGAAATATTTTGTTTTCTGCGCGCATTTTTCTTTAATGTTCATTAGTGTTTGATTTGCACCTACTTTTTTAAATTTTATTAACCTTGACTTCGTATTTCCTGTTTTTTTTGTTTCGCTAAAGAAATTCCTCGGTCAGATTATTTTGACTTAGTTTTCATCCATTTAGGAACGTAATTTTGGGCCGTTTTAAAATAAACACAATTTAAGCACTCCGCTCCGCACTTTTCAAGTTGGTTGTATGTTTAGGCAATCGGTTTGTTGAAATTTAATTTTTTTTCGTTTTGGAAAATTTTATCACTTTTTGCTAAAATTTTAGTTTTTCTCTGAAACTTCTCCTCATTTTCAAAAACAGAATATCAATTGAAAAACCGCTGACTCCTCCTTGTGCCTGCGTGCTCCTCCAGAGTCTTTTTTTACTTGACCACTCTGTCTACAGTCTACGAAAACCATGGGGGAATATTTGAACCATATTTTTGCCTTTTCTCGAAAACTACCTCTCTCAAATATGAGTATTGGGTTTTAATAAATTGAATTGTTTTGGAAAGCTTCGCTGCATAAGTGGCTACGACCAATTTTTTGCATATAAAGTTATGGCCCTCGGAATAATCCAATTTTTTTTTAATTTTGACCCTTTTTGAAAACCAACCTTTCAAATATGATATATTGGGTTCAATGAGATAACGGGTAGTGGGAAGCTCCTCTGCATTAGCTGACATTAACAAAAAAATTTGCACAAAAAGTTATCGCCCTTGAAAAGTCAAATTTTTGATTTTTTGTTTGTTTTTTAAATTTTTTGAATATTCTCGAAAATTACCCTGTCATACCGGAAATTTCGGGTTCAGTTCTCAGAACGAGTGGCCATAATTTGCTTTTTTTTTTGCAGAGAAACTTTGTTTTATAGAACTTTCGACCGTTTTTTGGTAAGTTCTTGAATTTTCTCGAAATTTACGCAATCAAATCTGAGACGAAAAGGTACATTGAAAAAACGGGATGGGATAGTTGTTTCTGCATAAGCTGCGATTGTTTAATTTTTTGTATGAGAAATTTATCTCCTTGGGAAAATTGTTTATCTCAAAGTTTCTTACTCTTCTAATTTTTTAAATATAGAAACAACTTTTCGTGCTGCATCAGTATAGCAAATTCAATCAATATTAAACATGTTCCTCTAGCTGTTCAATTGTGATTTTTTGCTGCTTGGCTTCTGATTTGAAATTTTCTCATAAAATTCACTTGCTGAAAAGATGCCTCTGTTTTCAAATGTGATTTTTTGCTGTTTGACTTCTGATTTGAAATCTTCTCATAAAATTCAGTTGCTGAAAGGAAGGCAAACTACGCTCTCTAGCTACGAAAGTGCAGATGGCGTGAAAACCTGAATGACCTTAGTTCCAAAAATGCCCAATGTAATAAAAATTACCTGATAGTTCAACCGGTTTTTTTGTATACTAGCCACCTTGCGAGCGTTGGTGTATTTGCACGAATTTTTTTTCTTTTCTAACTTAACTTGCAAATGAAAGTGTTTATTAAAAGTTTTCATTCGTTTGGTGGCACTTTTGCTATAATCACGATCTGTAGTATTGGAAATTTCATATCATCTGTTCTCTGCTTTATTTGTAGCTAGTGTTTGTGATTTTTTAATTGTCCGTGACTGAGTATTTAGTGTGTGAGACTCATAATCTCCAGGTCGCGGATTGATTCCCCGACGTAGCCAATTTTTTTTTTACTAATTCGAGGCTTATTTCTACTTTTTCTTGTTGTACTTTATAGAGCTACTTTTTGTCGTATTCTGGCTAGTGTTTAAAAAGCGCAGCACCGCCTCTATATCTAAATTAGGGTAGTTTTTCGACAAATATGCCAATCCTAGTTGTTTTTTAAAACTTTTTATCGATCGTAATAGATTCTCGGAAATTTTAAAATAGTTCAAAAAAGTTTTCAAAAAGTTAATTTGTTTTCTGGAGTTGATTGACACTTTTGCGACGTTGTCCTTGTCGAAGTTTTTCAAGATAAGTCGCCCAATTTTGTATTTTACATTTTTTTCAATTGAATTGCACCTATATACTGCAGAAAATCTTTGATTGATTTAGTTTCGATTGATTTAGTAGTAGGTTTTAGCAAAAAATCATTGAATCGGATGTCTTTTATTTACTTTTAAATGGTTTGCAAACTACAATACCGCATAAGCCGTGAAAAATTTCAATTGGTTTTGCTGGTGGCTCCGAAGTAGGTTCAAAGTTCGCGATTCGAGAGGGTGAGCTGCTCTGACTAGGTTAGATTGAAAGTTAATCTAACAGCTTGTAAATAACCAGATTATTTGCGTGGAAAAGGTACTGAAAAAAAGTTTTTTTCCCACTTAGTTGTTGGAACAATTAAACTCGGCAGTATACAGTTGTTTCTCAGATAGGCGCCTGGGCGAACAATTAATTGCGTACAGACAGTAGAGTTATCACTTATTACAGAAATATTGATTTTAGAACTGCAATAGGTATTAAATGCATGAACAAATTGTTCTCCAAATGCGCCATGAGCACATTGTACTGTTCTCAAGTTTGTTCAATCTACGTCTCTTCAAACTCTTGCCAGAACAGAGAATAGCATATAGCTACTTGTACTTCATCGTAGGCGTGCGCGAGACATATCTCTAGGCGGAAGTGGGCACCATGAGGAACTTGTATTTTAGTTTCCAGGAGTTTTTCTGATATCTCATCAGATTCTTTGTCATGTATCTCTTTCCTTGATGAATCGCCTATTTCTTCTGATTGCTGCGATGATTTGATTTGTGCAGGTTGATTTTGTGCAATTAGTTCCTTGTCTGTTTGTGATAAAATTTGAATCGGATGATATTTTTGTTCGGCTTTGTGGAAAAAATTGACGCTAGTTCTACAATTAATATTTAAACAAAATAAATGAAGACTCAACAAGAATACAAACTGCATCATAATTTGATCTTAAAATTGTGATTTGTGTTAGTTTAGGTTTATTCATTCGATATGGTTCCATAAGTTACTAGCAAACATTTAATTTTCTTTTTCTATATGCGCTTTAGTTATGAGTTAAAGGTAGTTTTGATAAGTCCATGGTTGCTGACTCGTTTGAGCAAATGTCAATGTTCCGCTAAACTGAAAGACAAATTTTAGTGGCTTAAGAATATCCATGAACCTGAATGTACTTAATTGTACGGTCTTTAGCTCACTCATTTAGAACTTGCGTGTGCTTTTCTCATTCCTCGTGCTACTAATTTTATATTGATTGACGGTTTTAAGTCCAAGTTTAGTTTAACTTCCCTTTTTGATCTCATAAATGTTTTTCCACAAAAAAATTAATCAAACTATGAATTTATATTCAAAGAAGGATAGTTTTTATTCATTTCACTATTATTTACCTTCTGTTGGGAATGTTTATGCACACTCCACTATCGAACAGCAAAAGTGTAAAGGTCACGAAAATGGTGGTCGACTTTTAGTTTGTAAATTCCCCAGGGTAATAAAAGTTATACCGATTCATCCAGTCCAGTGTTCTTAGATTGGGTAAATTTTATCAAAATTGTGCCAATCAAAAGTTTTTTCAAAAAAGGCAGTATTTTTTGTTTTCTTGAGTTATTTTCCCTTTTCCAACTGCCTGTTGGCTGTTTTAAGTCTTAATAAAAAAACGGAAAACACCGTTTCCCAAGAAACAAGTATTTACATTTGAACACACCTAAATTTCCTTTTTCTGCGGTTAAAATTTTGACTTTGAGTTCAATTCAAATTCATTCGATAAGTCGAAGGCTAATTACGCTCTCCTATTACGAAAGTGCAAATGGCCAGCATAACGTGAATTTTTGAGTTTTTGGTTTTAATACTTCGTTGAGTGTGTTATAATATTTATTGACCCAGTTTTGTTTTTGTTCCGACCATTGAAAATGGGGATGAACTTTGTATTCGGGTATTCTTTAAGTTCTTTTATTCACGCAAAATCCGTTTTCCCTAATATTCATTGGAATCACTCGAGTGATATATTATGTTGAAGTCATTTTTCATCATAAAATCCTACACTCAAAGAATATATATGCAATAATATTCCTCTCAAAAATCCAGGCTTTCTGTACCTGTCTTAAGGTTTGGAAAGGTGTTTTAGAAAGCTAAAAAGAACTTATCCGACCCTCAATTACAAAAAAGAGAAATGTTGCAAAAATTTTGAAATTTATTCGTGACTTCTCCTTTCCACAAAGGTAGCGTTTTCAAAGTTATACTCAATAGTTCTTGAAGGGAAAAGTTTGTTATTGTAGCCTATTTTTCGTGAGGATAATTGAAGTAAGCGCAATTTTCTTGGCTTATTGTTTCGATCTGTTTTTTCAACCGATTGTGTATTTTGGTCCAAATTCCTGGTTGCCTATGTTTTTGCAACAGTGACCATTTGGGGGGCAATAGACTCGGATTAAGGAAGCCCTACTTACTATCAGATCAGATCAGATCGTATTTATTTGCTAAAATATGGTGGTTTTGGCTCATAATTTCAGGAATTTATCGTTTTACCAGTTTAATGTGAAATTTAGTGGTGTTTAGCTAAATTTTTAATAAATTTTTTTCTCTCACGTTATGTGAAATTATTAAGAGTGATTAATGTAGTGAGTACTCTTACAAAGGTCTTGCTGATTTTTTTTTCAGGAAAAAGTCTAAAATTTGTTTACACTCAATTTTAATTTTTCGCGGTTTGAATTGTGATTTCTTTTCAAGTTCAGTGCGTTTCCATTTTTAAAAGAAAGGCAAACTCAACTTTCGAACAGCAAAAGTGTAAAGATCACCAAAAACGTGATCGACATCCAATTTCGAAAATGGAAATTAATTATCGGATGTCCCACCGAAATAAAAGTTTTGCCTATTGAAAAGTTTTCTCAAATTGGGTTAATTTTAACAAAAAGGTGTTATAAGAACATTCATTGATTGTTCAACAAATTCAAAGAGCTGTACGGCAATCTTTTTTTTTTCTTCGAAATTCAAAAGTTAGAGGTTTTTGAAAGAAAAAAACAAGTCAAGTTTTTTTTCAGTCTCCTTGCGTTCCTTACTCTTTTCCAACTGTCAGTTAGCTATGTTTTGTTCTTTAGGGCAATCTGGAAGTAAAAAATAGTTTTGGTTTTTTATTTTATACCCACCAAACGTTATGTTAGTGAAGAAGAAATTGAAATAGAGATCTGTTTCATATCGGCTAATGGCTTCCCGTTATTTTGTTTGTTTGGACTAAATTTCTTGAAGTGTAGAGTTTTATATCTCATTTTCGTAACATCTCATTTTCGTAACATTGTGTATCAACCTGTTTTGTCTCATTTTCGTTACATTGTGTATCTACCTGTTTTGTCTTTTTAGTTTACCAGCACTCGCTTTTCTTGATGATTGTGCTTTTTCCAACATTTATAGGAGTTATATTGCTATATACACAAGCTGAGCGTTTGATATTACAAAGCAATGTTTTTGCAACCTAAGTAGCAAATAAAAGTGCTAGTTTAAGTGCCATTTTCGGAAGTGCTTTTTATCGGTTTTTAAAATGTCTGTAGTTCATTTTAATCAGGAGACTGCTCTGGAAATAAAATATTATCTTGTCATTTTATTTGTAATGAGTGAACACAGTTGTAGCTTTTTTAAATCATCAAATGAAGCGATTAAAGGTATTTCACAAAAAAGTGCAGTAATAAAAACGCCTTCGCAAATGTTTTTCAGCTCAGTATATTTCACGAAATTTTTGAAATGCACAATTTATGCAAAGTTTGGTTTCACGTGCACAGTTAATTGATTGCAAAGCTAGCGTGGTTGCTTTTAGTTAATTGCATTCCAATTGATTGATTTTTTTATGTGTCTTTACAATAGTCTTGATTTCAAATGTGTCACGCTTAACAATCGTGTGCCTGGTGACATACTTTAAAAGCTTATTGATACGTTCCCGTTTGGCGACTGACAAACTCTTTCAGTGATTATTTATTGGGATAAACATTTAATTTAAATTTTTTTAAAGAATTTTTTGTCATTATGAAGAAGACAATAGATATCCAAAAAGCAGCTGATAAATGTCTGTAATGTGCTAGTTATCAGTTAACTATTCCAAACTCTTGCCAGAAGAGGACGTAACACAATCCAACTTGAGCATCGGTGCTTGCAAGACTGAGACACATCTGCAGTCTTACGTGAGACTCGTTTGGAATCATCGGTGTTTTTCTCAGAAAATTATCCATACTTTCCATTAGAAACTTTTCGTCTTCTGAAAGTAACATTGGCTGATTTTTCGGAAATGGTAATGGAGTTTTCAATAATTCTTTGTTTTGATATAAAAATGACTCGAAAAGTGAATGAAAGTGAGTATCTTCATATTTCGAATTCACTTTTCTCGAATATACAAATACCGTACAAAAAAGTATTAAACAAAAGAAGATAAGTTTTGCCATTTTTGGTACGAAGTTCGTTGGAATGAATTTTGGCTCACTATGTCTGGTTTTGTGCTACTTACACGTTTATTTACTTAAGTCATGGTTTTGAAATTTACGATTCAAATGTTGTTTTGCGATTCAGTGAGAGTTCGAGGTTGTTTAGAAACTTATTTGATAAAATGTTTTGATGACAAGTAAATTGGGTTGTTTAAATCGGTGTTGAGAGGAGGGTTTCAAGTAATGTCTTACGTTTTATTTGTTTTCGTTTGGAGTTAATTTATGGCTTCTGAAAATAGAAAAATCGTTTTATTGTCATAAATTCGTTTTTGACCCCAGTTGACCAGTTGCAAACAACTGTTGTATTTTATAAACAGGTTGTTGTTTAAACTTAGCGCTTCAAAAAAGAGAGCAAATTAACTAAATCAATCGGAGTGGTAAAACTGATGCAGGTCAAGGTTTTCGGAAATGATTGGCATATGAGATTATTTGGAAAAAGACAAAACACCCATATTTCATCTTCGAGATTATTGACAGAGTAGAATTAAACTCATTAAACCTATGACAGACTGTTTGATTTAGCATCAATTCAATTGAACTCATTTGTATCCTTGTTTAGACTGCAACACATCCAGAAGAGTCTGACAGAGGTGGAGGATACCAAGAGAGGGACGGACAACAGACTGAACAGTGCACAGACTGCCCTGATGTTGCAGGAGGAGACCATCAGGAGGAACGAGAGAGACATCAAGTATCTGAATGACAAGATAGGAGAACTCGAACGACAACTCAGTGCGGTTAGTCACATTAATTAAGTTGCTAGTATTCATTACTGTGTGAGCTAGTTTTTGGCTACTTTTTTGGCTGAATTGTCTGTATTTGAAATCGGCTGAACTGCCTCTGCGCCATCATTACAAATGGGGCTGAGAACAATTTCCGCTTGGTTTATGTAAGACATAACTACATGTCTGTCTTGGGTGAATTCAGGGTTTGTCGTGGGTAAGCGTTTTCTTGGGCGACCATGATGATCAAAAAGATCATTCTAACTATCAAAATCAGCGAATTGTGTGAGAGAACGGTTCAAAAAAACAATCTACATTTTTGTAATAGCTTTTGGATACTGCAAAGAGCGAAACTATTAAACAGAATTAATCTCGTCACTGATGATTCGAAAATGATGAAACATTTTATTGAAACGCATTTTTTTGTAACACAACGATGATGAAACTTGTTATTGGGATGGCGTACATTTGCAGGTGGACGGAGAGAGGAAGGCGGTGGAGGAGAAATTGATGCAGATGAAGAAGAGTGGGGAGCAGGTGGAGGCTGAGAGGAAGAGTGTGTGTGAGACCCTGGACTCAATTGAGAACAAGGCCACTAAGTTGGAGCTGGCCAAGAGGTCCCTGGAGGGAGACCTGCAGAGACTCACGCACCAGTTGAACGAGCGGGACTCCGAATACGAGGTAGAGCACAGTTCAATCTGCAAAATTACTTGATCGAATTTTTTTTTTTCAAGTGACACATTATAAGTAATCGCTCAGTGTATGGAAATCGTGTTGTTTTTTTTTGCATGAATTGAAAAATACAGTTTTTGTAAAGAACTAAATCTTGTAAAGATTTTGAGTCTTTTTTGTATTGATTGGAACTCCGTCTAAATTATGATTTTAATTGGTTTTGTGAATATTCGTGAGGTTTTTTTGGACATGAAATCAACCTCATTTAACCGAAGTGTGAAAAATTGTATTTAGCCGCTGAATTAAAGTTTTGAAGCGTGTAATTAATGTTTCTGATGGTTTAGAACGTGGTTGGGAAGAACGAGCAATTGGGAAGACACATTGCAGACCTGGAGAGCAAGAACTCTTCACTCCAGCTGAGCATCGACAGACTCACAGTCAATCTGCAGAGAGTTGAGGGCGAGGAGACCGAACTCAAGGACAAGGTAAACAATACCAATGGCAGATTACTGTATTTTATCACTCTGTGAACCAAATCGAGCAAAGCAAAAGGCCACTTAACCTGCTGGAAAAAAAACATCGATACCACGGTTCTTGTTGCTCTTATGTTATGTGGATGAAGCGAATATATGTGGAACAAAGACAACCCAAAGGGCGGAGATTTTTCGACCGAAGTGGTTGCAAAATATGTTAGTGTCCGTTGAATAAGAGTTTAATAAATACTTGATGTAATTTTAGCTGGCTAACGCCAACCAGACATTCAACGAGAGCAGCGCAGTCAGTGCCGAGAAGACCCACAAGATCAAAGACCTCGAGAAACATCTGGCGGAATCAGAACACGAGCGAAGACTCCTGCAGGAACGTCTGGACGCCGCAAGGGGAGCTGCCGCGGATGCGAAGCGACAAGCACATCAGTTGTCTGAACAACTGCAGCACAGTCAGCACGGATCGGCCGAACAAGAGGTGAGAGAAATAGATGAATTAATGCTGTTATATCGTATTAGGTAAACAACTTTGAAAAAATGATGAGAATTAACTGACGAGCAAATTAGTTGAACAAAAAATGGATTATAATATCAGCTGTTTATACCTCCAAGAATCTCGTCTAGATAACAACAGCATTCTAGTTTTGAGTTCGAATGTCATAAGTTACCATAAATGTATCAACTAATGGTATCAAGAATCATTATACGAGCTTATTCGCCGTTCTGGTAAGGAGAGGTTTACATTTGAGAGAAAGTGAAGTAGATGAGTAAGCATGTACGTGTGCGGCAGGTGAGGAAGATGGAGCTGGAGGGTCAACTGAGGTCCGCCAATGTGATTCTGAAGCAGAAGCAGGAGAATGAGGAGGAGATCATCCACAGACTACAGGAGGTGCAGGAGGTCAGTTTCAGTGCAGGGCTGTATCGTTTTGTTTCCCCCGATATAAGTTCCCTCCTTTTTTCAGACTATATGACACAAAATTTACAAATGACACGATAATGGACTGAGCTCTCAATTTAATTCAGCTGCAATTTATTCGCTTTTAAGCTATTTTTACATCTCAATTTGCCGTTTTGAACAATTCAATCATCCTTCTGAAAAATTTGTAAGTTTGGAGAAAAATGAAGAAATTCATGGAATGTATATTTGTTTGGAAAGCTTGAAAATTTTAAGCTTTGATATAAGATGATACTGGGAATTTTTTGATGTTTTGGAATGCACTGAAGATATGTTTTAAATGAAGTTTTTTGGATAATGGTAAAATATGCAGAAGACAAAAATAGACTTGCGATGTGCTACAATACATCGCATTCATGGTAATAAGCCAAGCATAGTGTTGACCAAGTAGCCTTGACAAATCTCACACTATTGGCTGCCAAATATTTTGTCTTATTTGAGTAGTATATGCTGTGCCTAATAGAGATATTCAAGTAAAATGGTATCATTTTTCTTCATGTGCAACATAAGTTAAATGTATCGTATCTTCAAATCGAAATGGTGTGTTTTGTAATATATACTTGGGTGGATGTGTGTAGGAGAAGAAGGCGGTGGGTGAGAAGGCAGCCATGTTGCAGCGACAGTTGAATGAGGCGGAGGACGACAGGAGTCAGCTGCAGAAACAGGCCGAGAGACTCGGCAAGGAAAGACACGCGCTCAAAAAGGCACTGGACAAGGTACACCACACGCTCACCTTATTGCTAGTAACTTCAAAACAAGAAGATTGGTGCAACTATCGAACTATTCTTAAATGAGAAACGAGGTCTTCATTTGCAATACTAGAAAAAAAAATTGTTTTAAGACCCTCAAATCAGATCATTGGAAACAATAAACTAAAATAAACTAGAATAAAAATAAACTAAAAATTATTTCAAATTTTGGGAATCTGTTGAAATTTTTACCTACTCGCTAGTCTTTAATTAATTTTTCGATGCGTTCGACGCGCTTGTTACAATTTACTAAATGTAACATCATGTATTTGAGTTTTTGTTTCATAGCTTGACCGGGAGAGGATGAAGACAGAGGAGATTGCGACCCAGTCCTCAGTGGCCAGGGCCACTCTGGACCAGACTCTCCAGGCATTGGACACTGAGAACAGAGATCTGCAGAAGAAAGTGGAGGATCTGCAGCAGATGCTGGCTGACTCAGACCACAAACACGCCAGAAGGTGACATAATGTCTTTTTGATGTGATCAACGAACTCCAAAATTTTCAATACGGCCATTAGAAATAGATTGACATCAAATAGCGTTTCTCACAGAAAATGCTCTACAACTTAATATGGGAACAAACAATATCGTCAGCCAATCTAAATGCTGTGCTATTTTGAAAAACGTCTCCTAAACCAACATGTTGAAAAAAATTCTCAAGCTGCAAATTCGTGGTGAGAACTTCTGTTAAATATATTTTGTGGATTAATTTTTTGTGTGTAGACTGATTGAGCTGACGTCTAAACACAGAGTGGATCAGGACAGGGAGATGGAGAGACTGAAGAGTGCACAGAGGACTGCTGAGAAGACCCTGGATTCTAGGGAGAAGGCACACAGGGACAGAGTGAGGACCCTGGAGTCACAGGTACGGATATGAAGAACCCCGGCCAACTATTGATTATCATTCGTTGGATATAGATCCTAATACTTTTTGAATATCAAAAAATGAAAACTGGTCTGCAAAACACTTTCACATTTCTCATATAGAATCACTAGGAAATTACAAAGCAAAAGTAGAAATTGGAAAGATGTTGAGAGTAGTTGACAATTGTATCTTTTATCAAACGCCAAACAGCGGACACATGGCCAACTGTTTCAGATCAACTCGCTACGAGATCAGATCGAGTTGGAAATGAAGCGAAAGGCCTTCACCTCCCAGTCAGACATAGCCAACATGAGCGGATCAGTCCAGAACCTCAGCTACACTGGGGCAGCAGACAAGTCCGGATACTCAGACCATCACGGGACATCAGCCGGCGGACTAGACTACACCCCCACCCGACTGACCCCTAGAGCCAGGTCACCCTTCAAGAGGTCGGCACGTGCCAGTCCCCTCCCCCAGTCAGTAGCCAGATTAAGAGCCGGAAGTCTGCCCAGGTCACGCTCAGATATCTCAAAGCTCCACTGAACGTAGAGGGCAAACTACAAACTAGTTCACGCACAATTCATCTGAAGCGGTGAAAAATGAACTGAATGTTAGGAAAATGGGCAATTTTGAAAATTAAACCCTTAGAAATCAATTCTGTTCACGTCCTAGAACAATTTCAAGAAACGTGACATAAAAATGATCTATTTTGTGCCTTTTCTGTTTGTCAGAATAATAATTTGAAATCAATGTGTATTTCGTTGTACTCACCCACTCGTCAAATTTGAGCGTCTTAAATGATCATCAGCTCATTTGTTCCATGAATATTTAATGAATGAATTTGCCAAATGGACAATTGTAATACCACTTTCTCACACATATTTTATACATATTATGTTCAAAACACAGCTTTGCCTTTGTGCTTGAGTTTAACATGTTTTACAAAAAAAGTCTGTAAATATGGTTGCCAATTAAACCTTAAAAATTTTATTTCATCCTTCGATTTGCTGCCGTTTAATGATAATTAACTAAATTGTATTGTAAATAGATAAATAACCTGTACATGTGTGAATCTCTCCATTCAATATTTTGTCAAGCAGTTGTTGAACGAGTTTTATACAGTCAGTATCGAACAGCAAAATGGAAGTGTGGCTCGAAAAAAAAACCACGATGAAGTCAATTTGTGATGGCTGGTTTGAATGAAAAACCGTTATTGACAGGGTTGAATGAAGAAAAAACCGCGCAGGAGGGTGGCTACTGTTCTATATGGAGTGCTGATTACACAAGGAATGCTTGTGTGATAGAATCAACTGTCTTTTTTTCCAACCCAAGTCTCAAATATTATTGCGTTGCAAATATTGTTGCGATAGAATGTTCATTTTGATCAATAAGCACAGCCAATGCTAAGGGTTTTAACACAGATTATTATTGCTTCCGACTTTTGTTACGAAAGTAACGGATTATTTGTGCTCGAGGTGGTTTTTTTTCAAACAAATTTCGACTTTTTAACTAGCCATTTTTGACGATTTTTATAACGGGATTTAAAGTTTCGGGGTTTTATAACTTGCCATTTGGGTCAATTAACGCGCGATATATTTTGCATGCGGAGATTTAATACGTCACAGAAGTCGTTCCAAATTGGTTGAAAGAAGCTTATTTTTCATAATTGATTTGTTAGTAGGTGCGAAATTTATCACGTACTAAATATGGCGTTTGGGGAGATAATTTTCACAAGAAATCTCAAATTTTAAAAAAATTCATTTTTTCATTACGTTCAATTTTTTCATGTTATTACTGCTCCATAGACTGCTCTATAAATTGAGGCATGTAAGTTGGTAATTTTTTTTCAAATTTGCTGGTACTGCTAATGCGTTATAACTGGCGTGAGTCAGATAAGACATTTTGTAGACACAAAGTCTTACTCACTCAGTTCTTCCCAGTAGCGTTATCGGTCATATTTTTAGTTTTGTAGGCTAAGTGCAGCTTAGCCTCTGTGTTTATATTATCCGGATAAAATGAACAAAACCTTATTTTCAAGCACGTTTTGCTTAAATTGGATGAAGATTAGACGAATTGAGAAGAGAACCAAATTTGCTGAGAATTTCATCAGAATTATTATGGTGCAAATATGGTCTCTGAAATTCTCAATCAAAATGTTACCCCAAAAATGGGTCATTTTGACTTTTTTCAATCACTACTTTAATAAGTGATGAGAAGTATCTATCACAAGAAGCCTCTTACGCAGCCCAACAAAGCTTCAGAAATCCTTAAATTGTTTAAAATTTGTTTGTCAGTATAGATTTTGGGTTTTATATAGTTTATATAGATTGGGTTTGACTATCAGGTGAAAACATTTTCTCTTATACAGGTTTTTGGAGATTTGACTCTTCTAGAATTTTGTTGGGTTGTTTAAAACGCTTCTTGTGATTTTTTTTCTAACCAATTACCGAAGTAGTTTCAGGGTAATTCTTGATTAATTGATAAAAGCTAAAATAACCCATTTTTGGGATTAAATTTTGGTTGACAATTTCGGACAAACAAATTGCACCATATTAATTCTTATGAATATCTAAGCAATTTGTTCTCTTTTTGTCTAACTGTTACCCAAATTCAGGAAAACGCGGTTGAAATTTCAAGTTAGGTTGTTTCGTCCGGATAATTTAAGTCACTTATAATACATAATATTATATACAGAAAAAATAACACAACTAATGGCTCTATTGGACTACAAAACTTGAATAAATCACAGGGAAAGTTAGAGTGAAAAAAATATATTCGAAATTACACTTGCGAGCGTTACTGTATTAGTACGAACCTTCTTTTTTTTCTAACCTAACTCGCATAAAAAGTAGTCATTTGGTGGCAAAGTAATCATTGTTTGATGGCAATTTACTTTAGTCACGATCTGAAGCACTGGAATTTTAAAAGCGTCTGTTCTCTGCTTTTTTCTACACAATTGAAACGTAGGGTATTATTACGAAGAATTTTTTTAAAACCTAAGTTGCAAATAAAAGTTCTCATATGGTGGCACTTGATAAATTTCAATTTTAATCTTATTCAAGATTATTTCAGCATAAAAAGTTTAACGGCATATAATGTTGCTTTATTTTTGGCTAGTTGTAGGTCCTGTTTGACAAAAAAATTGCATTATGAAAACATATGGGATTTTGTTTTTTTTTTGCAATTTTTTCTAACTTCCCGCAGAAATTTCAGTTTTTCTCAAAAACCACAGCACTGATTTTTCAAAAAATGGTACCAGTGGAAAAATCGGCTGCTTCTTTTTGTGCCTGTATGTTTTGCTAGTCTCTTTTCATTTTACTTCACGTTCTACGGCGTTCAAAATTTTCAGTGGGGGATTTTTCACCTATTTAATTTAATTTTTTTTTTCATTTTCTCAAAAACTAAATGCACAAATCTGAGATAAAGGCTTCAATAAAAAATACAAATAATTGAGATTTTTTTTTCTTTATTTTTTGTAGACTGCAATTCGAATCTAGCAGAAGACCTAGCAGAAGTTTTTTTAATTCGAAGCTTATTTCTACTTTTTCTTTTGGCAGTTTATAGAGCTGATTTTTGTCGTTTTCTCGTTTGTGTTTGCGAAGTGCAGCTTTGCTTGTGTTAGATAACTGAACAGGGTTCTCTAGCTCTGTCAAACTGCAACTAATAGCTGGCTGTTTAAGGCTTGAGCAAGTTCAGTTTGTGATCTAAATTGAAATCTATGGTACGCTGTGTTTCCAAAATCTGTGCTGAAAGCTTTTTCTGAATTTTTGGAACTGTTCTCCTGTTCTCAAACGCAGGACATGCTACTCCCGCTTAATTTCATTGTTTCAAAATAAAATAGAAAACCCAAAACAAAAGTTTCAATTAATTGGTCTTAATTCTGATTCGCCATCAATAGGGGGAAATGAAATGTCAATTTGTTGCGATCAATTAAATGAGTTTATTTGGTGAGCAATTCATGTTTTTTGAGACTTACTTATTGGGTTTTCCCTATTTCTGATGAACACAAACGCTTGAAAACTGCAATCACGCATCAGTGTTTTTTTTTCAAGAATTTTTCGAAGCAAAGAATAGAAATTAGTCTTGTTCGTTGTTTTTAGTGTCTTATCTTTGACATGTTTTCCTCTCCAAAACTATCTTTTGAATCATTCAAATGGAGTCGAAAAGAGCAGTAATGTGTTGCAAAACGGGTTTTCCTTTCCTCAAGGAAAGCAAGTAACTTCTTGGACAGAAATTTCTCGCCTCGTAAAAATGTGATGATAGGATTTTCGATGTTCATTACTGCTCAATCTTCAAAATATTCATAAATACCTCCAAAAAATGCGTCGCATTTAAAGCTTCTGATATCACAGGTTGATATTTTTTTCTTTTCTTGCAAATCAGCGCAAAACATTTGAAACCTACATATTAAATTTGAAACCTTCTGTTCGATGAAACGTATATTTCAGACTAACAAGATAATTTACACCTGCAAAAATTTTTTGAGGTGTAAATTATCTTTTATACGTGTTTTTGTTTCTCAAAACTTCATTGTTGCCTACATTACACTAAGGGAAGATACCCATCGTACTAATGAATCTTACTGGTTTTGCTTGGATATTTTTGATGTCCTCGTTATAAGTATGAGCAACCGTGTACTGCGCAAAAATATTAGTGTTTTAACACAACAAGAACTATTTTCCAAAGCAAAAACTTGAAAGGTAAAAAATAATCTATAGTTTTTCTGAAAATTTCATTCCTTATATATTATTTTTAAGCAACCTGGCAAAAATTCACTTTTTAAAACTACTGTTGAACTTAAAACCAAGGAATTTAACAACAATTGGAACTAAGATGGATTTTCGAAAGTGATTGAACGTTTTTTCAGCTCAATCATTTGAAGTATTTCAGGCTCAATCATTTGAAGTATTTTCAGACTCGAGGCATACCCACAATAACCCTGAGGCATACCCACAATAACCCAAAATGTGTCTATTGGTGGCACAACAATTTGCGACCAATGAGCAATTTTGTTTGCGAGTTGGGTTTGAAAAAGTGCGCATTCGTAAGATAACATTACCATTGCAAGTTCGCGGGTGTAAACATTCGTTTGTCTAAATTTTATGTTTATCAGCATATTTTTCATAAAATTTAAAGCCTTGAAGTTGGAACAAAAATTTTGAAAAAAGAAGAAATATTAGGGAAAAATTGATTTAAATCATTTCATGTGAAGTATTTTTACATTACTTACATAAATAACTGTGGTTTTACGATAAGGACCTAATTTTGGTGGCCAACATTGCATTGAAAATCTAATAGCATCAGTAGCTGTTTTTAGTTGGCTAGGGTAATTATATTTCAAAGCAATCGCAGATTCGAAAATTGTGAATCGATTACGGCACATGGCAAATGGTGACACTTTTGCTGGTAAGCTTAAAGATTTAATAAAAACTGCAGTTTACTTTTTTGTCGGGCAGTTTTTGTTTATTATCAAGCAACAAAAAAACTTATAAGTTGACATCAGAATCCTGCTCTTCCTGACAAAATTTTGATTCCGGCACGCGACAAAAACTTTTTTCATGGTTTATATATTAGCTATTTTTCTTAAGTTTACTCTTTTTTGTCTTTTTAGAGATTTCGTTTGCCTGCTTGCGTTTTCAAATGGCAATTTTGCTTATTTATAGAAAACTTTATTTTAAATGAAATTAGCTAGGGTGATTTAAAAAAATTTGAAAATGAATTTGAACAGCAAAATTAATCAGAACCCAAAAAAAATCCAAAAAGTTATTTGAAATCGATATCAGAAATTGTTTTAGGAAAAACCATGGTTTAAAATTGGCTATTCTGGCTAAATTGGTATCTATAACGCATTTTTATGCGTTCTCTAAATAGTTCAAAAACTAATTAAGGCGAACAATTTTGATTTAATTATGCGATACGAAAAACTAAAAACTCCTTTTTGTACTTTACACAGAATGCGGGCGATAAAATTGTGAAAAAAAAACTTTTTTCATCGGCTTTAAATGAAGGAATCTTCTAGACGGAATCTTTTATATCCAAAAAACTTAGGGCCGTAATGCTCTGAGCTCAAATTTAGAAACACTAATTCCCCTGTGA